GCACTATACCACACTGCCATACACAACACTTTTTTAGACAAAGAGATCTTTCGGATCTCGCAGCGCCAACCTCTACAACACCACTTCGATGTCTACACAGACCTCCGCAGTCTTCTACCAACTTACACATGGGCGTTTCCACAATGGGGCCGCATCCCACGTGCCTACATTTTACCGAAAAGAAAGAAGCAATTCGCGAAAGGACGTCCTATAGTGGCGTTCATCGACACCATGGGCCGAAAATTATGGGAAGCCTTAGCAGACGTACTGCAGCTGATGACACTTCAAGCATGCCCAAACTCCTTTCACCAAGGAGACGGGATAACACAGCTCAAACAAACAGCACTCTTCTTGCATCAACGCAGGAAATTACAAGATTCAACAGATTACATCCTGTACAATCAGGATTTGGCTGGCTTCTTTACATCGGTCGATCAGAGCCGGTTTCTTTCAGCATACAGCATCATGGTTCGATGGTACAGAGAGAAGAACCCACTACACTCTTCCAAATTCTTCATTGACCACTCACAGAAAGACCCCACACATCGAGTCCACAGGGGCAAAAGCAGACAAAAGCAGCAAGAAGCCTCCTCCGGCAACAAACTTTGCATACAATTACAACACATACCACAACTCATCATTGCAGTGCTCCGACTCAACTATTTCACTGTTGGTACATCACTTATTGAGCAATTTCGCGGTGCACCTATGGGCTCGCCCTGCAGCCCAGCCCTATGCAACATCGTGGTTGCTGTCGAAGAACAGTGTTGGCACCACACATACAAACAACTTTTCAAGAACCACAAGCATTTTCCAGACCACAACAAGCAGGATCAAGCTTTCTTTTTTGCTACCAGATACGTCGACAACCGCGTCCTTCTTTTACCTGCACAGCTGACCCGACTGCCTCCTTTTGCACAGCTTACTGACGCATCTTTCTACAAACCACCGGTTCAGCTTGAAACTGAACCGGCCAACATTTTCCTGGGTTTCGCCATAAACCCTCAGCACAGCAGCCTTACGCATCAATGCACTTTGCACAAGGCGGATATTTTACACCCACAGTCAGCCACCTCTGTTGCAACACTTCGCAGCAGTTTTCAGGCCCGCACACGCATGGTACGTAGAGTGACAACACCATGCAGCGAGGCCACATCAGCCATTCGAGCCATGCGCGATCTCTACATCGCTGCCGGCTATACTGATCAACAGCTGTAAGCAAAACACTGTGCCAAGTTGCCGTGCGTGTGTCCAGAGCCATGCAACTTTGCAACATGAGAGCCGCCTTGTATCAACACAGTGCTTCCCGCAGCCATTTACAGGGTTTAACTGAGGCATCATCATGTATAAAAGTGCCATGACTGGCAGATTGCAGCCGAGCCACAAAGCGCTGAGCGGCCGTCCTCGGCCATCCATCTCCAAGCATAGCAGACGCCGCAACGAGCAACCTGCGGTTGGCAGCCACAATCAACAGCCGGCGCTTTTGCGCTCTCAGTTCCTACGTGTTGCAGAAGACGAAGATTTCCAAGATTACCAAGAGCAGCACCAAGATCCGGAAGAACAGCAGGACGCAGCAGTGGCTGCACCGGCGACCCCGCCATTTCCACCTCCGCATCATTCTGATCCGGATTCATCGACTGAGATTATGGCAGCAATAACGCAGTTTCACAATTCGTTGCTTGAATCGAATGCCAAACTCGAGCGCCTGATACAACAGGCTACAACGGTGTTGACCACTCAACACGAGGCTACCACGGCGATCCTCGCCTCGTGCAAACAGCAGCTCGACGTACTCGAAAGCCTCATCAGGCAAAACGCGCCTGATTGGTCGTGAATATGCTGCTAAGGTACGCTGGTATAAAAAGAGCCAGGTAGTGCACACTTCTCGCATTTCAACACATGTTGCTTTCAGACACACACCATAACTTTGCCTTTTGAAGTTTTTGCCTCAAAGTGACACCTATCGGAATCCCGACACCGAGCCATGAGCGAAGCATCTCTTCCGACAAACACAGTGACTACAGATTCGCCACCCGTCGATGAGTCACGACGTGAAGCTCTCTCTGAGGCCCTCATGGAGATTTTGACACAGCATCGGGACTATGATTCCGAAACTGGAAGTGAACCTTCCACATTCAGTGACGAGGCTCTACGCGACCAATTAGCCGAGTTTATTCTGCAAACAACCCGGCAGATCACAGAGCTAAAGCAACGAGTGGAAAGACTCGAAGCTTCGCAACAATAGGTGATCAACCATGTTCATACCACCATTGGGTGCTTTGCAGCGGACGGTTAAAACAACGATTGTCGTTGTTGCCAATTGTGACAGTCAGTGCACTCACTTCACATATGTTTGGTATGCAGCGATTGATGCACTCTTGCCCGCAGCATTTTGCAAAACAACCAGTTGTGTTAGCACCATGGAACAACGCACCAGATCGCGATCTCCCACGGCATCACAATGGAAATGGCATTGGGCCACTAACGGCTCTTCATGGTGGCGTGTGTACTTTATCGCATCTCAAGAGTGGATACGAAAGCATTCGGAGCAACCTGATCAGCGTCCGACATCAATGCCTCCTACCCAAAAGGAGACAGTATCTACTACATCAACTCCTACATCCAACAAGAGAAAGCGGTCAAGAACTCCGTGAGCAACATTGCTGAGTTGACAATTAGATGCACATTTGCTGCCCCCGGCAGTCAACAACCACACAGCAAAGCTGTGCTGCGAACTCCATCATTCCTGATGAGGTTCAACATTAAGAGCATCATGTTGAAAGTTCATGCCGGTCGGCGAGGTTGCTCAATTGATGTCTCTGTTTACCTCTCTCTCTCTCTTCTGAAGATCAGCGTATGCACATGCCTCAATGCAGTTGTGACTCCGCAGCCATTTCTCAGAACTACAGTTGCTGAAACATATTTAGGATCGCACACAGATGGACGAGGACGACGACAGCAGCCTATGGGGATCCGAAGAGATTGATGCCTTCCTGAGGAAGGATGACACCACCACATCCTCCCATGCAGTCAGTCACACACACAAGCAAAAAACAAAGCACACAACGAAGACAAAAAAGAAGAAAGACAACAAAGACAAAAAGGACAAAACAGTCATGAAAACAAAGAAAACACGCAACATCTCACCACCATCCCAATCCACAACACAGCAACGACGCCAACATCCACATACTACAAGACGAAAGAGGACACGCTCTTCGCATTCAACATCATCAGCGTCACCTACGGCAACGTCACACATGGCTGAGGACGCACACCGGTCTCCATCTCGAGATCCTTGGTCTTCTGACTCGATTGCACCTTACGATATTGTGCATCCTACTATTCAGCACAAGCGGTCCAAAACCGCTTGTGCAAAAATGCTGGTACGTGCAGGTTTTAGGTGTCGATGCCATTTCAAGATCATGAGTGACTGTCCCAACAAACTCGCTGTTGGACCCTAATTCTCAGGACGGATTAGGGCTGCAAGATCCGCTAAACGTGACAAAAAGCCCGCGCATGCGAGTGTCAGGACGACACCACTTTGTTGTTTTGCCAGAGCACACATCATGTCCATGTTGATTTGCATTCCTTGTTCAAGCTTTTGTCGGTTGGTAGCAGCAAAAATATGACAAAGCGAAAGGCTGCCGAGGCCGGCCTTCCATGGTACTCCATGGCAGGACAATGTTTTCGGATGACTGTTGAAATTCCACCCGACCGCATCACCAGAGACAAGCACATGTTCTTACACGTGGTGCTTTGTCTGGGTGACAACGTTCTCCAAGCTCGCAAGATCTTCTCCTACCGCATCAAGGAGATCACCGGCAGAACTCCTAAAATCCCAGCTTTCTTCTTCGAACAAAACCGTCGACGACTACATGATTGGGATTCAGTCACCACATTAGCCACGTTGATGCCGGTGCTTTTTGTTAGAACCTGTTCGGATCAGGAAATACGACAATCACCCGATCGCTATTGACAGCGAGAAAAGTGCGCCATTCACTCCTATTGCCGTGCATCAGACCTTTCACTCTACTTGAAGCATGTACGCCCCATTGGGGCTGTGTGTGTGTGAACCTCCCTAGCACATGGGAGCAGAGGGTCACTCCTACACTGTTTGCAATTTCGCTTTTCAACACAATCCGGCATTGGACATTTACCAAATCAAATGTTGCAGGGGGACACAGCATGTCGCTGGGACTGTGTCCAACGAAGCTACCAGTGACATGGGAGGAGAGGACTGATCATCCTCTTGTACCTGCAAGCTGGGCCCCCTGAGGCAGCAAGATTAGAAAACGCTGGCCCCCTGAGGCAGCAAGATTAGTGCATTTACGGTTTTCACCTTTTGCTTGAGCACAAAGCCTTGCACGTTTGCCGCAATCTGACAAGCTTTTGCAACAACATGCCTCTCTTTTTCCTCTTGCACTCGTACTCTTGGCCGAATCCATCAGTGTGTTTAGGTCCGAGTTTTCAGGGTTGGGGTGGTTTACCTAACCTGTCGCTGGTTGCGCAGGCTTGCAAGATGTAAGTCCTATCTGGATTTATGGTGTGAGACAGCTAACGCCTGGATTACTTAATAAACACAGCATGACAGTTCCCTGCACAAATGGAATCCTCGTCCTTCCAACCGAGAACCCCGAAACAAACAAGCAACAAAGGGCACTTGGTGGACTTCTACCAGTAAGGTTTTCTAGAACTCATGTCGATGAGACCTACAAGAAGCACAGCAGGTCTGCTGAGAACAGCTTATACAACACTGCCATGTACCTACAAACGTGGCGCGACAAGAACAGTGCATGACAGCAGGTTCGTAACAATGTCACAGTAGCAATGGCCAACATGCTACACGTAAAAATCTAAGACCATCTAAGAGCCTGAAAACTAAATCACATCTTTTCCCCGAAGTCCTCATATCATGTGTATATATATATATATAACTCAAAATATAAACTCTGATGGGCTCAACGATTAGTTTGGGGTTCAAAATGTATCCGAGGCTCATAGGGCGACAGCGTTCTGTGCGTGCGTCGTGCCAGCTCACTGTCAGCACACACCAGCAAGTTCCTTTGAAAGTTCGGCGTTTGGTGATTTATTGGTGTGGGGTTTAGGGTATAGGAGATAGTGTTTCCTTTGTAGCCGTCACCGGCTTGATCATGAATACTCCTGAAATCGTTCCTCCCGTATCAAGCGGTCGCAATGATGCTGAAAAATACATCTCACGTGGTGGCAGCGCTGATGACAACGGCCATGATGTTGCTGATGGTCGTGGCTACCATCGCATGCATCATCAGCGCTGCCTTGCTCCCGTCATCATCATCATCATCCCAATAATATCATCATGATGAACATCGTACTCTTCTTTTTCGCCATCAACAGCACAACAGCATCTGCATCGTCGTGATCCGCACTATCCTCTTCCCTATCACCAGCATCACCACCAGCTTGGGCTTTGGCGGCTTGACTGTGTTGCTAGCTCTTACCTAGTTCATTGTTGGGATAGGATTAGAAATCTACATTTTTATTCCTTATTGGGTTTAAGTACCCATAAAAATGTAAAATGTTACCCACGTATGACAAAGTTACCTTGGTTAGCCTCAGTTCTGTTTCCGGTCGCAGGACCACTACATGAATCCACGTCCTGGTATACCGTATGCTGAAGCAACCCACAAGATGTGCAAACAGGCCGGCCATCAAGCGTTTGGCCGTAATCAATGTGGAAGCTAGGGCAGTCGGGTAACCCAAAGGGTCCAAGTATCATTATGGTATATACTTATAGGGTATTTTGGGGGTCTGAGTATATACCATGATGATACTTGGACCCTTTGGGTAACAGGTTGAGTTAGAGAAACCCAGTTCCGAAGCTGCCACGTAGCAATGAGGGAGTCTTTCTCCAGTGTCTATCTCAAGCGATTTTGCAATTGGATCCCTCAAACCTCAAATGCCCTAATTGCTTGGAGGATGAGGGGGATTCCGGAGTTCATATAAAGTTACAAATTAAATACTTTAGTTGGCGTTTGCAGTCCTTCCTTATAACCCCACTTACTAAGTCGCCGGATCAGCCGGATCAGCTTAAGAACGCCCTTAACCCGCTGTTAGATCCCCCAAAAGCAGCCTCGCAAAACCCTACAGGGTTCTAGTCAGGAACCATTGAAAAGCAGAGTGTCCTTAGGTCGGCCAGCCAAAAGTGGCGCTTGCGAAGAACGCCGTTCTCGAGGCCTCAGGTAAACAATTAGAATCGGGGTTTGCCAGGATTTCAAATGAATCTGTCACATAGTTTTGTTAGGTTTGTAAGATGCGGGATATTAGGCTTTTGATTCCGAAACTTCTGTAGGAGTCTGTTCCGTCTGACAGGCTTCGTAGGCAGCAATAGAAGTCATGTTCACATTTCTGTGAACATGTCATGCTCATGTTGCGCAGTGGTGGCTGCGGTAGTGCGTAGCCAGACGTAGCAGGGGCAATCGAACATCGAACGAGCTCTGAGAAGCCTTCTGTATTTATTATACTTTACGCTTTGCTGCAGCACCCTGAGCAGAACAGCAAGAAACAGCAGTCTTTATGGACATACTACCCCGTTCAAACCCCAGAATAGCTCCGGGTAGAAAACGTTTAGATATGCCCTCCACATTGATTCAAGCCTAAACACCAAAATCCCAAAACCGGTACCTAAACAACCCCCTAAACCCTAAAGCCCAATACCGAAATCCTAAACTCCTAAATCCTAAACCCCTGAACCCCTAACTCCCAGATCCTAGGCCCTGCAATTCTGAGGGGGCTTGGGTCTCTGGAGGCTTGGCCTCTTCATGCGACTTCAAAGGCTTTTGCAAGAAGAGCGACGATGCTTTGGAGAACAGCCGCGGAAATCACAAGTTATCCCAAAGCAGTAGCTCGGCACATATTTAAACTATATTTGCTGCTGTCGTGTTGCGGTCCTGAAGTGTCAGAGTTGTCAACCCGGGATCCAGGAAGAACGTGGCTCCCGCGCACTTGCTCCCCGGACCTCCACACGCAACTTGAAGGCTTAGGGTTTAGGGCGTTAGGGTTAGGGGTTTAGGGTTTAGGGGTTTAAGACCCTAAACAGCAAACCCTCAATGCATTAAGTAGCAAATGCCTCGCAACCACCTTTCATGAGGGAGTCGTCTGGGATATATCATACTTTTTTTGTAATAAGGACGCCCCCCCCCCCCCCCCCCCCCCCAAACAAACAACTGCAGTGATAATTCTTAAGATCCCTGTATTAAGGCACTGGCTTGGCTCACCCTGTGTAGAAGTCATAATCGCTCAACCATTGCAGGTAGGTGCAGGGCCTCTGCAGCAGAGAGTCGTTTGTGACACAAACCCTAAACCCTAAACCCTGAATCCGGAACCCTGCATCCTATATACATACACATGTACCCTAACCCTAAGCCCTAAAGCGCAACCCAAGGGGTCCCTCCTTCCAAACCCCCAAAGCCACAGTTTTTGAAAGAACCCTAAACCCCAAACTCCGGTTGATGATATAGATCCTGCATTACGCATAATAAGGAATAAGGAATATACCATCATTCCCATAGTCTAGGGTCATTAAGGCAATGAAGGATTTATGGCCCCAGGCCCTTCTAGGGCTCCCAACTTCGAATACGCGTTCATGATCATACCAATAACGAACAAGACTAGTTGTTTCAATGATACGGATAATCGTATATAATACCAGTAACAGCAAAATATCACCAATAATATTAATAATGATGATGATGGCAATACGCCCCCACCACCACCACGGTTTTTTGGTTTTGGGGATTTTAGGGCTTGTGGGCATGAATCATTGGAATAGAGTAGATCGGCATGTGCCGGGCGGGGCATTTAATAGCAACAACACTTCAATGAGGGGCCCTGAGGAATAAGATTGGTAGCTACCCCGATCCCCATATTATTCTACTACCCCCTGCCCGGCCTGCAACCCTGATCCCTAAACCCTAACGAGCCCTACACCCTAAAGCCTAAAACTCTACGCCCTACGCCCTAAACTCAAAACCCTAAAGTAAAAGCCAGAAAGTTGGAATATGATTATCCTAAACCCTTTATGGTAAATTATAGGATATCCTACCCTGAAACCATATTCCAACTTTCTGGAGTTCCTTTTAAAGCTTAAACCCAGAGCCTCCAAAACCCCTTAGTGAAGGAATATACCTTAAATCATAGTAGGAGCCCTAATATGATTTAAGGTATACTCCTTAATTCAAGGGTATTGGAGGCTCTGGGAACCCTACCGAGTTCCCCGTAAACTAAACCTGCCTGCAACCTCAGCAACCCGACAGGCTACGCCACGAAGAGCGGAATCCACGAAGCGCCGCACGCGCTGGGTCAGCTCCTTCGACTCCCATAGGACTTACTTGGGGGGTCGGGGGACTTAGTAAGTAGTTAGTAAGTAGACTTATAAGTACCCTTGAAGGGACCCTAATTGGGGTTATGGTACGTATAAGTCCCTAAAGTATCCAGTTACTAAGTCCCCCGACACTCCAAGTAGGATTAGGGGGACGCTTGGGGATATAGACCCTCTCCATAAGGTCGTTTTTAAGAGGCCTGAAGTAGGGTTAAGAATGGTCCCCTTTAAGGGCTCTCCCGAAAGCTACCTAGGATCCCATATCCCTCACTACCCACGGTTTTCGGGTATAGTATGCCAGAAGTATATCGGGACTATACCGGAAGGCTCCTAGGTTGAAATGTGGCTATTTCTTCTGCTACGCCAACTAAACGCCCTAGAGCCTCATATACATAGGATTCCCAAAAAGATACCCGTTTCTACTGAGGAATACCTTGATGACCCAAAACCCTCTATTCAAAAATGCTGCCTAATTGGACTCGGAGGTCTAAACCCCCTTTTAACCACAGGAAAAACATATTTCAAGCATTCTCTTGGGTTTCATATGAACAAAATGCAAAACAACAAGCGCCAAGAAGACTATAAAGTTGTCGGTTCGTGTTTATGACCCTCGGCAATAAAGCAATTTCAGCAGTGAGGCTCTCTTGGGAGGCTCCACTTGAAAGGATCGCCACCTCGGCGACCTTTTGGGTAGTTGCTCGTCAGCGCAAACTCGAACCCGCCAGGTATACATATACATATATATATATGTATGTGTGTGGGTGTGGGTATACTCTTATACCATGCCATATGAATTCTAGCAGCTTCTAGCATTATACGGTGCTTTGATCTGTTATATTATACTAAGTTAGGTTACATAACATGTTTTATTATATCCGAATATATTTGGATATCTTTAGTTCAATGATACTTACACAGCAAATGCTACTGTAAGAATGCAAAACATGCCTGATTTACTTGCGTTCATGAACCTTGGAATCGAATGCGAAACCCTAAACACAAAGCCCTAAACATCCCACGCCAAATCGCCGAAAACCCGCAAAACCAAAAGCCTAAGTGCGAATCACCACCTGTCAGCTGATCGCTCTACTATGAGAAGCAGAGTATGATCTCTTACCCCACTCCCACCAGGAAACAACACCAACATGCAATCCTCATGATACTGGCTCCACGCCGAAGCCAGAAGCAATGCCTCTCGCACCGATGGGGCATGGGCATAGGGAAACGAGGACTTATCATCTTGAGGGATTCATGGCTTCGGCCTAGGAACAGGAACAGGGTTCAGCAGCAGCAAGAACAGTAGTCCATTGATAAACCGAGACCACACTGTGCATGTTCACAACAAAGGATAAACCGACGCGGCAATCTTAATAGTAAGGTTGAGAGTCATACGAGTCATAATCATGACGATCGTGGAAGGTTGATGGACTGTGAGACCTACGGTGCAAAAGCTTAACGAGGGCTTATGGGTGCGGTCTTTTAGGGCTAGGGCGCAAGTTCTACGTTCGCTGTGGCGACGACGACGAAGACAACTGCTGCTAGTATCACTGCCACTGCTACTGCTGCTGCTGCTGCTACTACTACTACTACTACTACTACTACTACTACTACTACTACTACTACGAAAACTGACTAAAACTAAACTCGTCGCACACCAGGTGAGAAACTCCATGGATAGAAACGGCTTGGATAGCAGCGCGGACGACATGAAGCCTTTTGGTACGCGTCAACTCCGCTTGCATGAGTGGCTCTACTACCTGATCGTCCTTTCTTCATCCAAAGTCACCAGACCAGCAAGTTTGGCCCAGGGCAGGACGTGGTTGTCTCCTGCCGGCAGCAAATCTCGAATAGTCTCAGGTTTCAGGCTCGTACTGCGGACAGCCCCTCTGTCGACCCGCACGCTCTTGATGAATGCCTTCATCTGCTCCGGGACTTCATCCACTCCGTGCAAGCCCATGTACGCCTGCTCGGCTAAACTGCACGAAGCTTTAGGGTTTAGGGTTTAGGAGGGAGGAGGGTTTAGGGTTTAGGGTTTAGGGTTCCCTTCTAGATGCCATCGCAACTCGGCTCGCCAATGACGGGGTTTAGAATTCTATGAGCTGCACAAGCCGTACACCCCAACCCTCCCTGTAGGGACCTCACAGAATCCCTGTAAACCCAAGACCAAAAACCTGAACGCCTAAGCCCGAAACTCTTGGGCTTACGCATGCTACCACAAGAAATCGAACTCATGATGAACACCTAGCATGTGCGGATCTATCCACGGCAACAAAACCACAAACTGATAAGTAACAGAATCTGTCCAATACTCGTTTCATTTTATACGAGGATCACAAGGAAAACTGAGACCCTAAACCCTAAAGCTTAAATGATACCCTAAATGATACCCTAAATCCTAAACTCGGACAATTGCTAAGGAACCAAGGCCCCGAAAAGGATCCACGAGAAGATGAACCTCCTCGCCCTCGGCCGTGGGTGCAATCTGATGAAGCCACTCCTTGGGCATTTTAGGGCTTACCTGGACCCTGAAGAACCTACCTTTTTAAGGTTCCCCATTATGGTTTCCTTGTGTAAGTCCTTAAAAAGGTAGGTTTTATCTGGGGTTAAGGTAAACCCTAAACCCTAATCCCTTGTTTTTGTAACTTGCCTGGCTTCCATTCACTGCTTCATCAGATTGCTCAAGCCCTACACACCTTGAGGGGGCCCCTGAAAGCAAGCCTTGTTGCCTATTGCCTAAACCCGACTTGGAGGGTCGGGGGACTTAGTAACTGGTTATTTTAGGGACTTATAAGTACCATAACCCCAATTAGGGCCCCTTTTAGGGTACTTATAAGTCTACTTACTACCTACTTGCTAAGTCCCCCGACCCCCCAAGTACACGCCTGAACGGGCCGCCTGAAAGCAAGACTTACAGGGCTCCATCACAAGGAATCCTTATAGGGTTCCTCTAAGCCCGAAACCCTACAATGCCCAAGGAGGATCCCAAAAGTAGATTCCCTTAATGGGGGGTCCCATAAAGTACCCCTTATTAGTGCAGGACCCCAAATTAGGGGATCTACTTTCCAGATTATTCCCGGGGGTCTGGGTTGTCGGATCTACGTCCCAGAGCGCCCCTCCTAATCCCCTTGATTAGGGCTTCTTAAAGGTATCTATATAGGGGTTCTTTCAGGGAATTAAGGAATTTGGCTTAAACTCTACACGCCTTCATCAGAGAGCTCCTGATCCCCCTACCTAAAGTTCCTTTAAGGGATCTATAAGGGATCTATAGGCTTAGGGTTTAGGGGATTCTAATACCTCTTAATTAAGGAATACCTAGGGTTCCTTTAAGGGATCTATAAGGGATGTATAGGCTTAGGGTTTTAGGGGATTCTAAGACCTCTTAATTAAGGAATATGGCCTAAATTATATAGGGCTTCATATCATGGTTTAAGCTATATCCCTTAATTAAGGGGTATTGGGCTCTCTCGGGTCGTCTTTCCACTCCGCACCGTGTTCGGTCGTCGGGTTTAGGAGGGGTTTGGGGGTTTAGGGTTTAGGGCTTTAGGGTTTAGGGGTTTGTGGCGTTAGGGTTTAGGGGTTTAGGGCTTAGGGTGGGGCTGAAGGAATTTTTAAGTGCCCCGAAGGATCTTGGGGCGGTTTAGGAGGTGTTGGCTTGAATGTGGGTGGTTGTCAACATTAAGGTCCTTTTTGAGGTATCCTAAATGTTAGGTGCCGTATTTTAAGGAGCCAAGAAGAGACACTACTTTTGACAACCGTCCATGTAAAAACAAAAATATACACCAGGTAAACCCCAGAAACACCATAACTTTCCTGGCCCTAACATACCAGAAGCTCAGGCGTTCTAAAACGCGCATCCTAGGGCAGTGGTACTTTGAGAATTGCGGTCTCGGGGCTTCGAGTATGTTAGGGTGCCAGCCTTTAACGGTATAGGGTTTAGGGTTTAGGTTAGCTTGCCAGTTGGTTTCGGATTAAAGTTTATTGCCTTGACCCCAAACCTAAAACCCTAAACCCGAAACCCTGCAAAGGGAACTTAGCTGTTTGGGGGCTTTCGGGCGTAAAGGGTTCTGGTGTCTATTCCATGGTCTGTAGCCTGCGGGCTCAGGCTTTGGCGCTTCACGATCTAGGCTTTACGGGTCTTTAGAAGCTTTGTGTTTGTGCTGTTGTAGGGCTAGAGATAAGGTTGCTTGGGGATGCGTAGGGTCTGGATGAGGGTTTACGGTTTGGAGCTTGGATTGGTTGGGATTTAGGATCTTGATGTTTCGTGTTTATGGGTCTCTTCTTTCGACGAAGCACTATCACGGCGACAATTTGCTTAATTCAAGTCGCTTGTGGCATCCACGAAAAGCCGCCGTAGCCACCACCACAACGACGACTAATGATGCATCTTTTCAATCACAGTAGCGGTGGTGCCGCGATTTCCCCAACAACTGATGGCTGCTAACCCGAAGACGATCGTTGTTCATGATGATGTCATTGTCCTATCTTGCTTTGAACATGCTCACACCAGCGGATACAAGCTGTACTTATATAGCTTGCACAAAACTCTGTGGTATCTTCTAGACTTGGCCAAACAAGCGAAAAGGTAATGAGCATATCCAGTACCAGAGCCGCCAAGTTATTGTGAGCCTGCGGGGGGCTGCTATCAAGGCCTAGACTCGGTCTACGATTTGGGGGTTTAGGGTCTAGGGTTTCGTGGTGCAGGATCTCTGGTCTCCCAGGCTCAGGGACTACACTTGGAGGTTCATCGGTAGTTATAAGTAAGGTTTTAAAAGTAGGATAACTATACTTATAACCCATATCAGGGGACTTACTACCCTAGTTATAACTTCCCATGAACCTCCAAGCACACATACCTGGGAAACCCATGCAAAGAACCCCCTGCGGCACCTTTCAGAAGCAACCCAACACATCCGCAGCCCTGAAACCTGTGGTTGCCTAAAGCCTCAATTCCTCTTCAACCATATCTAAGACATAACGCAATAAGGAGTCTTCGGCCATAAGAAAGGTTCAGAAGGTGGAGGAAGACACAAGTAGTCTTCACCCTGAACCTTTGTACATCCTTGACACTATACCCGAAACTCTAAAGCCCCATCTCGAAGCTCTTGCATTGATTACATAATATAGGGCCTACATGCAATTACCCCTTATCGTGACCCTTAAAGGACCCCTTTAAAGGAACCCCTATTCTAATTAATGCCTCTTGTTTTTTCGCCCGGTGGCTGGAAGCTCGGGAAAGATTTTCACATCCTCAGAGGCCTGCATTGCGGTTTAGGGTTTAGGGTTCAGGGTTTAGGGTCTAGGGCTTAGGGTTGCGAAGATTGTTCGGGCAGACAGCTTTTCGGGTTTCAGAGGAGCTTAGGGGCTTTTGCAGGGAGGGCTTTCAGCTGTGGTGCTTTAGGGTTAAGAGCTCGGGTCAAATACGGGCGGGGGTTTTGGATTTAAGACTTGAAGTTTTGAGGTTTATAGTTCAGAGTGTATTTAGTGAGCTAAAGCAACCGCTTTGCCTGAGGGTTCCATCTCGGAGGTATATAGGACTTGACTGATAATTCCAAGCATGAGATTTCAACTTCCCGGGTGTTACTATTGATGATATGAACCCTGCATTGCCTTAATTACCCGAGACTGTGGGAATTACGATATATTCCTTATTATGGGTAATGCAGGATTTATAACATCGACCTGAGCATGCCGAGTTTTTTGCATCTGTGACTTTGGATGGGGGATCCTTGCGGTGTGGGTTTCGGGTCTTGCGGGGTTTAGGATGGTTTAGGAGTTTAAAGGCTGAGCCCTAAACCCTAAACTAGTATGGTGCTAAAATGATGACTAGACTGTTGCATGCTTTCGGGGATTGGGTTTTGGGATTTAGGTTTGAAGATCGGAAGGCTTAGGGATTAGTCACATAATGACGGTGCCTGTATATTTTGTCTAGGGTTCCTTATTGGGTTATATAAGGGATCCGTAGTGAGTCACATAGTAAAGAGGCCTAAATGAGAAAGAAGGGTTTCGGGGCGAATGATTTCAGGGTACATGATATTATACAGTATGTTATACTTCGGAACCCCCAAAACTCATGGGTAATTATTTTGGTCCCAATCTTGACCCGATAGGTCTAGGGCCAGAAAGGATTGTCAGATTTGGGTCACTCTACTTGCAACATGACTGGGACACCGCGTGCGTAACGAGTCTACATCGATTTGCAGAATCACGGCACGTGGTTTCGGGGTGCTTTCGGGCGGGGTTCGATCTGGGGAAGAATTCCGAACCCCGCAACGCTGTCAGATTGCCTGCTTGGCTTTGCCGATGGACATCAGCGACACCTCATCACCATTGTGCGCACCTGCAGAAACCAAAGAACAAAAACACACAACAACAAGGAAAGCTGCTACTTACACCCAGATACTAGATAATTAACCCAAGTCTTTAATTATCCTTGTGCTAACGTACATAACACCGTGCTAATTTCAATAAAGCGCCTACATGACAACCCTGAAGCCCTAAACCCTTCTTTCCTCTGTGGCCCTAAAGCACAGAAACCCCCAAAAAGTCCTAATCCGCTAAATTGTTGGAATTGGGTTTGGCATTGTACTGACAAGTACTTGGAGGATCATGGGACATTGTAACTGGGGTTATTACTAGGGTAACTACACTTATAATTACTTATAACTCCAATTAAGGCACATATAACCATACTTACTAAGTCCCATGATCCTTTAAGTACAGGGACTAAACAGGATGATACCTACTTAGTCAGTTGTTCTGTAGGATCAGAAACTCCCAATCCGTTGATCACGCCGAAGATGAGACTGAAATCTGCACGAATCCCTTCATGATGGGAATGAACATTAAGAAGCTCTCTAATCCCTGAGACCCTATTTCCCGATTGCATTTCGGGAACATGTCAGTTTCAGTTTGTCGTCATAACGATTAGTACTACTATGCCCTGATAAGGCCTAGGATAAATACCTACATACCCAATAAGCCCTGGGATACATAAGTATACTCATTTTTTGGACTGTTCTGTCCCATATATACCCCGAAATATCCCGACTCCCTATTCGAGGTTCTGGGTGTCGGAACTGGGGCTTAGGGCTTCGTGGATGTAGGGTTCAAACATATTATCGCGATCCTTGGCATTCTTGCTATGAGTTTTGCAGGGTGGGTATAGTGAACCCCCAAAAGTTGGAACATAGATTTGGGATGACTTGTGCTGGGATTCCCCTTACTTTAGATTAAGGGCATGAGGATAGTAATGTTCCAACTTTCTGGCTTCTACTGTAATTGTTCTGACGAGATTCGGAGGTGGGTCTGTCCCTTACCACGATGCCCCACGACTAGCAGCAAGGCAGAGAGAGTAGCGACTCCTACTAACACGAGCACCAATACTAGCACAAACACAACTCTAACATTCAGACTATCACTATGTAAGACAAATGCGCATGCGAATACTACCTTTTTATCAGTATTCCTACTGCAATTACTACTACTACTACTACTACTACTACTACTACTACTACTACTACTACTACTACTACTACTACTACTACTACTATTACTACTACTGCTACAACTGCTACTACTGCTACTACTGCTACTACTGCTACTACCACTACCACTACCACTACCACTACGACTACGACTACGACTACGACTACGACTACGACTACGACTACTACTACTACTACTACTACTACTACTACTACTACTACTACTACTACTACTACTACTACTATTACTGATGCTACTGCTACTCCTGCTACTAGTACTACTACTGCCAGCTCGACTACCACGACTCACGAATATGACGACGACACAGATAGCAGCGTTGAGAGTAACTGTTCAGTTCTAGTATAGTATACATTCTCCAGTTCGCAAACAGCTGCAACCAGTCTGGTGAGGACAGTGCTGCTTGGCACACAACGGCTTGCCACCTCCGCGTATCTTGATGATATTAGTCTTGCGACAAAGAAATAGTCGTGACGATGCTCAACGTGACAACAACATGTTTTTGAAACAGGACTCCAACAGTGCCACGATGTCCAAGTGACCAGATTCTCTCGCGACCTGCAGAGGTGTGATACCATCTGTGCGAGATATGCTAAAGTCCGCCTTCATTTCCAGCAGCAGGTGCGCAACTGCCACATGACCATTCTGCGATGCCATGAATAGGGGGGTCTCATCATTCAGAAGAGCCTTTTCAATGTCCGCACAAGAATTCAGCAGTACTCGAACCATCGCCACATGGCCTCTCTCAGATGACGCAAGCAGTGGGCTGGCGCCATTGGGAAGGCTCTTGTCCACGGCTGCACCGGCCTCGAGCAAGAACTCTGCAACATCTGCATGACCTTCAATCGCGGCCTTGAAGAGGGGAGTGTACCCAATCAAATCTGCCAAGTCGATGTCGGCGCGGGCATCCAGCAATAAGCGCACAATATCGAGGCGGCCCGATTCGGTCGCCGCTTGCAGAGGGGTCGAACCATCCATGCGAGTCCTGGATAGGTCTGCCTTAGAACACAACAGCAGGCGCGCAACTTCTATGTGTCCGTTCTGGGACGCCATGTAGAGTGGAGTCTCGCCGTTGTGCATCGCTCCGTCGATCTTTGAAGAAGATGCTAAAAGAAGCTGAGCCATGGTCAGATGGCCATTTTCAGATGCTGCCAGCAGCGGGCTCGTGCCGTTTGGTAGGCTTTTGTCCACAGCTGACCGGGCCTCCAGAAGAAGTCGCGCGACGACCAAGTGCCCTTGAACGGAAGCCGCGAGGAGAGGAGTCCAGCCAGTCACCGTTGCAAGGTCAGGATCTTGTGGCCTCTGAAGAATTTGCTCTACCTCCACACTACGATTGTTATGGGCCTCCTCGACGAGGTCATTTACCTTAGCCTGAGACGTGGCACAGAAGCCGCACAAGACTACCAACTGCAGCTCCATTGGCTGGTTGAGAGGTGCGGCGTCGTCCAAAGGAAGACCATCTTCCAACAGCAATCGCTGCTTAAATCTGGGTTCTCCACAAGCCTCGGCTACTTGGAGGTTCATGGGTAGCCATACGTAGGGTTATAAGTAGGTCAACTATTGTGAAAATCCAATCAGGGGACTTACAAAGCCCCACTTTATAACTACCCATGAACCTCCAAGCACTGTTAAGAAGGAAAGACAGAGGATCCTTTTTGTGGTCTCCTCCAAACGAAATTATCAGGAAACCCAAAACACCGACATTCTAACCCTAAACTCTACATGTGCCGATAGTACTGAGCAAGGAGCCCGTTGCAACTGCTGCTTCAGAGCCTTCACAGGTTCACCTACACCGATCGTCTCATTGAATTCTTCCAGAGCCATCGAGAAAACTTCGCAGCCCGAAGCCATCCGGACGCGCAACATGCCGGGGCTTTGCAGGTGTAGGGCTTCATAGTTATAGGCAGTCCGAGAAAAGGTTCTGCCAGGGTTCCATCAAGGCTCTTTCTGAGTCTTTCAGGGTTTTGCTTGTAAGAATGGCCCTTATAGATCCCTTAAAGGAACCTTTGTAGATCCCTTTAAAGGAACCCTTATACATCCCTTAAAGGAACCCTTATAGATCCCTTCAAGGAACCGTTTTTAGATCCCTGAAAGCCCGATGCTCGAAAGCTCCAAGTTCTGCTGATGGCCACGCTTGAGGATGACTAGTTACGGGGTTTAGGGTTTAGGGTTTGAGACTCCAGTACTAGGATGCCCAGTAATTTGATATTGGGTAACTTTGTAAGGAACCTCGGACTACAGAAAGGGAATAAGAGTACTACTGGGCATCCTAGAATAGCCCTTAATCAATGAATACACCTTGAATTGTAATAGGATCCCTATAATGTGGTTTAAGGAATATTCCTTAATCAGGCGAGATTGGAGTCTCTGGGTGTACGATGGTATATTGGGTCATAAGTCCGTTAACATAGGTTATAAGCTATAACTATAGTTACCCTACCTATAGCCAACCATGAACCTCCAAGTATCGATCTAAGGACTATGTGACTATGATGGGCTCATGCGACTCAATGTTTTCCCTGCGCCCTAAAGGGAACTCCAGAAAGTTGGAATATGGATTAGTGGTGGGATCCCCTATAATTTACCTTAAAGAGGTTACGATAATGATATTCCAACTTTCTGGCTTCTACTATACACCCCCAAAATCCGAAACCCAAAACGCAATTTTTCTGATTGTGGGTTATCTAATGGCTGCGAGGGAACACCTGACGGCCAAGCAGAAAGCGAGCAGCCAAGCAACATGCGGATTTAGGGTTTATGGCTGGGCATTTTCAGGTTTCCGGTATTGCGTTTAGGGTTCAGGTTTTAGCAGAGCTAAGGAATATATACCACACACTAGATGGGGATCCAGATTATGACTTAAGGTATATTCTTCTGAATGAGGGATCCGAAATATGGACAATGGCCCCGCATGTTAGCATAAGGTTTAGGGGTACATAACATACACAAGCAACAACCCTAGCAAGTAGTCAAGCTTCGATATGGGTAGTAAGGAAAACTAGAGTCCCTTTTTGGGTACCCTATGTATTAGGTGCCGTAGTATAATAAGGACCCAAAAGGGGACCCTAATTTTGACAACCACCCATATGAACCCCGACCCACCGATCGATAGTCTCATTGTGGTTCCCCTGATTCTTTGGTCAAGGGGTTTAGGGGTTTAGGGTTTAGCACTGCTGCTATGGTTGGACCCCGTACCTAAAAACGTGGCCAGCAAAACCCTTCCCTGCTAGGAAACCTGGAAACCGAAGCCCAGCACAGTAAAGCAAATCCCAGAAAGTTGGAACATGGTTCTAGGATGAGTAGTGCTGGGATCCCCTTTGCTTTACCTTAAGGGCACAAGGATAATCATGTTCCAACTTTGTGGCTTCTGCAGTGGAGCCCCCCAAAAAAGGCGCAGGGTGAATTAACCAGCGGTCTGCATATCATTACGCTCCGTTGTCCCTAAACACTCAAGCCAAACCCTTGTTGTTAATGTTCTCTTGGGTTTTATAGGAACAAAAATACAAAAAGACTATATGGGTGGTTGTCAATATTAGGGTCCGTTTTTGGGCTCCTATTATAATACGGCACAAGCATTTTAGGGTACCCAAAATGGGACCATAATTTTGACAACCACCCATATTCATGGGATCCCTGGATCCCAGCCGACGCCTATTGGCTCCAGCGCCGATTTGGTGTGGCAGCAGTGGCAGCTGCAGACACTCGGGCGACTTTGGCCCATGTTTTGCGTAATGCGTGCTTCTTTCTATCCCCGGAACCCTACTCGAACCCTACTTGGAGGTTCATGGGCAGTTATAAGGAGGGTTATAAGTCCCCTAACATAGGTTAATTATACCTATAGTTATCCTAATTATAACCCGTGCTAAACTCAACCTTCTCATTGACTCTCAGATTTCGGGTTTAGGGTCTGCGAGGTGGAAGGCTTGAGCGATTTTGCACGACGCTTACGTGGAGTGGGGTCTGACGTCTTGCGGTTTTGGGTTTCGGGCGCTGTCATGCCAACGTATATCTATCTATCTAATTATCTGTATATATATATATAGATATAAACTCCAGAAAATATCTGCATATAGCTTCCATACTCGTTACCTCCGTGGGGACGGTCCTAAATTAGAACAGTTCCCTTCCATGTGAGAGGCGGCCCAGCCGGACGGTTCAGAACTGTAGAGTTTGGGAGGGAGGGATGAAGGGTTAAGGTCTACCTGTCACCCTAAACCCTAAATCCTAACCTTAACCCTAAACTACCTGTCACACGGAACCCTACTCGAACCCTAAACCCTAAATCCTTAACCTTAAACCCTAAACCCTAAACCCCCAAACCCCTAGGAACCCTACTCCCTAAACCCTGAACCCCTAAACCCCTAGGAACCCTACTCCCTAAACCCTAAACCCTGGATCTTGCCATCGTAGTTTCAGGGCCAGACCGGTAACACAATAAAGGGAACTCCAGAAAGTTGGGTTCCCTTAAAAGGATCTATAGGGTTCCTTAAAGGGATCTATAGGGTTCCGTAAAGGGATCTTTAGGGTTTAGGGTTTAAAGGGAACTCCAGAAAGTTGGAATATGGTTTCAGGGTCGGATACCTTATAACTTACCATAAAGGGTTCAGGATAATCATATTCCAACTTTCTGGCTTTTATTGTAGGCTTTGCCCAGAGAGCCCAACACCCCTTACTTAAGGAATATTGTTTTTGCTTGTAGAGGGCTTCATACTATGATTTAAGCTATATTCCGTAATTGAGGGGTAAGGCTCTCTGGGTGGGATCCACAGGTAGGGTAATTAAGTCTTTGTAATTGTATTAGATCCATGGCCCGGAAAAGGTAAACAGTACAAGCATACATAAACAAGAGCCTTATAGCAAAAGCTTAAAGAACCCCCGATAGAACTCTGGGAGGGTTTGGGGTAGAGAGTTCACGCCCGGATCCTCGGGCAGGATGTCGTGTTTGTGGTTCAGCATGAAGGAGGCCCTTCAGAAAAAGGTGGCACCCAGAGAGCCCAATACCCCTTAATTAAGGAACATAGCTTAAATCATAATATGAAGCCCTATCTAAATTAAACCATCTTCCTTAATCAAGGGTATTGGGCTCTCTGGGTACATGAAGCAAGATTTAGTGTATGGGGTTCTGGGTTTAGGAGTTTGGGTTTAGGGTACTCTGGGGAACCCGCGTCGAATCGACCTCTGGGGCGTGGGCTTCGTGGTTGAGGCTTGCATGATTTCTCTACTTTAGCATCCATGTGTATATGACACAAAACACTGTAGAGAGGATTTGAAAATTGGTGCAGGGTTTCGACGTATAATTGTACCCTAAACCCTAAATCCCAAACCCTAGCTCAAATCACTAAACCCTATAAACCCTAAGCCCTAAACCCCCAAACCCCTACACCTAAAGATTTCTATTTCTATTCTAGCACAGAAATTACCAGAGATGCGAATACGTTGTAATGATTGATCCTGATTGGTAGTCGCATCCCTGGAGATATTCCCGAAATAATTCTACTCTACTCTGGCCTAAACCCTTTCAAATCTATCAAGGCTCCTGCTCTGCAGCTTTTCGGGGGAAGAGGACCTTGAAACCTAAGCTCTTAACGCAGCTGTCCACACCCTCAAACCGCGTGTTGACCCTTTACACCACATCGTGCCCTTAAACATCCCCAACAAAGCGACAGTATCCCGATTTTTGCTTGTAATTACCTCCAAGCCTTCGGTCTAGGCCTTAGAACTTTACGACTTTTCAGGCTTCAGTGTTTTTTCTGACCGCCCCTTTTCGCCTGCAGCTGCTTCAGTGTTGAGAGTCCAGGGTTTTAGCGGTGTCAGGCTTCGGGCAATAAGGGTCTAGGAACCCCAGGCTATATGGGAGTTTCCGCAAACAGGGGACCCTGATATAGTATCCTAGGTAGTAGGATCCGTATTGTAAGGACCCCAAAATAAGGTACTCCGTATTTTCGGAAACTGCCATATATCCCCTCAAGCCATACATCCGGAGCGCGGACTTTTCCACTGTACTCCACTGCGTGTCCTGTACTCCTCTGCATCCATGTGCCTGGCAGCACTTGGGTAGGCCATTCACATTGTGCGGATTCGGAGGCATCTGGAACCTAATTCAAGTTATACGCCGAAACATATGAGATCCTGCACAAGGTATTTGGGAGTCTCAGAAGCAAGAAAGCTTGATCTGCCCAAAGTCTTAACCCATTCTGAGCCGCGGAATATTCGATCATGAGGGAGTGAGGAGAAACAGAAAGAACAAGATGTGAAAGCAAGAAATGCAGGTAGTTGGGAACATTGCTTAGGGCTCCGCATAATCATCATATGTTGTAAAATACACGCACAAAGACACTAAGTTCTCCCCACGGCTAGCCTAGACCCTGGCCCTAAACCCCAAACCCAAATTCCAGCTTTTCCTCTGAGGAACTGTTGATGATAAAAACCCTGCATTACCCATAATAAGGAATATACCATAATTCCCATAGTTTAGGGTCCTTAAGGTCATGCAGGATTTATATCATCAACCGAAGTACTTAGGGCCTTGGGGGGCTCAGTATCCCGGCCCATAGAAGGTTAATCTTTCAACATATCGTGGGGCTATATACTGTAAACATAGGGTTTAGGGTTTAGGTGTTTAGGGTACAAGGGTTTAGGATTTAAGGTTTAGGATATAGGGCTTAGCGCCACTACTTGGAGGTTCATGGCCAGTTAGAGCTGGGGGTATATGTACGGTAACTACAGTTATGGTCTTATAACCCCACTTACAACTACCCATGAACCTTCAAGTAAGCCCCAATCCCCCAAACCCTTGTAGAACGCGTATAGACCTTTATAGGAACCCTTTTAGGAACCTTATATGCCTCACGGTCCGCTACAGTACCCAAGAACCCCCAAGAAAGGTAACCCCAAACCCGTAAACCCTAAACCCGAACCACGCATCTACTCAGCCAAGGTACCCAGAGAGCATGTGGCTTTAACTGTATAGGGCTTCATATTATGATTTAAGCTACATTCCTGAATTCGCTTGTAGAACCCCTCTACATCCCTTCAAGGAACCCTGTAAGGAACCCCTAGGCCTTAAGCTATAGCCTACATGAAGGGGTATTGGGCTCTCTGCGTAAGTATCGGCGAAGGAGAGAACAGGTCAACCGTTGGTCGGGGTCCGGGTGCTTGGCTAGACCCAGTAGGAACCTAGGAAGAAGCAGTGCTTCGAAAGCCTTTGAACAATATATGCAGGTAAAGATCCTCTTAAACCAACTAAGAGCAAAAAATATGTCCCAAAGCCCTACCTAGTTTTGGTTTAAAGGGGCTAAGAACGGGAATAAGGGCCTACTCTGAGTCCTAGTTGGGTTCAAGGCTGCGGGTTTAGGGTTTTTAGGGTGTAGAGTTTAAGCTTACGGGTTTAGAGCTGTAGGCTTAAAGGTTGAAGGTTGTGGGACTAGGGTTCTAGGCTGCAGGGTTGAAGGTTAGGGTGTAGGGTTGCGGGTCACGGGTGTAGGGTTGAAGGCTATGGGTGCTGGGCTTTAGGGTTCGAGGTTGGGCTTAAGGTTATGGGTTTATGAAGGGGCTTATGGTTGTGAGGGTTTAGGGCTCGGGGTTGCGAGGTTAAGGTGGGATGATGAGAGTTTGGGGCTTCAGGGTTTTCGGGCTGCAGGTTTGAGGGGGGGGGGGGTGGGGTGTTTGGGCTTCCGGGCTGATCGATTTACGGGTTGAGGGCTCAGGGTGCACAAATTGCAGAGTCCAAGCTCCAATGGGAGTGTCTGCCCCAAAAAAGTGAAAGAGCTCCGATCTCTGCCACGTGCTGGTCTGGGCGTACTTGTTGAAGAAGTACTTGGAGGCTCATGGGTAGTTATAAGTAGGGTTATAATTAGGATAACTGTAGATATAACCCCTATTAGGGCACTTATAACCCCAGCTATAATCACCCATGAACCTCCAAGCAATCGCTGACCCAGCGTCTCTGCAGCCCGAACGCACTAGCCTTTGCCAAGATGTTTTCCATGAAAAGTAGATCGTGAGCCACCTCCGCCCCTGGTATTTAGGCTTTAACTGCTCCCTTCTTGGAGGTTCATGGGTAGTTATAAGTGGGTTATAAGTCCCCTGATATGGGCTATATCTATAGTTATCCTACTTGTAACCCTACCTATAACTACCCATGAACCTCCCCTAGTAGAACCCTTATAGAGCCCTTTATAGATCCCCTCAAAGGACCCTATAAACCCTACTTAGAACTACCCATGAACCTCCAAGTTTCCTAGGATACCCAGTAACCTAAGAATAAAAAGGCCTCTCTTTTTGGTATTGGGTAGCTTTATAAGGAACCTAGGACTACAAAAAGGGAATAAGGGTACTACTGGGCATCCTAGCTACTTGGAGGGTCGGGGGACTTAGTAACTGGTTATTTTAGGGACTTATAAGTACCATAACCCCAATTGGGGTCCCTTTTAGGGTACTTATAACTCTACTTACTACCTACTTACCAAGTCCCCCGACCCTCCAAGTACCCATGAACCTCCAAGTTTCGAAGAAATCAACTTCGGCTTCGGGGCTGGGCTTCAATGCCTTCGTACTCTTTCCTTGGCCGGAGGAGAGGTCGGAGAGACTTCGGCCTTCCATATGGGTGGTTGTGAAAATTACGGTCCCTTTTGGGGGTACTCTAAATAATAAGCGCCGTATTATAACCGGGACCACCAAAAAGGGACCATCATTTTGACAACCGCCCATATAGATTCTCCGTCTGCACGGAGTTCTGGGTGCCCGTTTCCGCGCAAACCGTGATCTCCTTGAGGGCGAAATAGACCTGCCCTTTCTCGGTGATCTGCTTGGAGGTTCATGGGTACGGTTGATGATGCAAATCCTGCATCACCACTATAAGCTATGGGGGTTATTGTATATCCTTATTATGGATCATGCAGGGTTTATATCATCAATCGTAGTTCTAAGTGGGGTTATAAGTCCCCTAATATGGGTCATATCTATAGTTATCCTACTTATGACCCTACCTATAACTACCCATGAACCTCCAACTGGTAGATTCCTGGTAGATGTCGCCGGACTGAAGGGCTCGCTTACGGACATACACGGACCACTGCTCGAGATCTGATACAGATCTGTGTAGATCCTAGGCCCTGAGCCCAGTAGTTCAGGCAATCTGAAGCCCCTGAAACACCTTGCCAACAAATCCTTAAAGCCCTATGAGAGACTTACAGCCGGAGACCTAAAGGCAACACATCTGTTTAGTGTTTCGGGTTTACGAAAAAGCAGTTTGAGTGCTTGATGGCTCTTCCAATGATGTCAGAAGGAACATCCAGCTACGTGGAGGTTCGTGGGTAGTCATAAGTGGGGTTGTAGGTAGCAGAACTACATATTAGGGCACTCATAACCCTACTTATAACTACCCATGAACCTCCAGGTAATGTCGAAAGTTCAACAGACCCAATGCTTTGGGCTTGAATGCCGTAGGCTTAGGGGTTTAGCGTTCTAGGGATCTCGAACGGGCGTGGCTCAAATTTTGGGTACGCACAAGTGATCCTTAGGGATTTATGTACTAGAAAGACCTGTTTGAGAACTGGGAATGACCAAATCATAACGGCCAAGCCAATAATTCTCAACGAATGCCTAATGAAGTCAAAAGGCCAGCCCAACTGCAATTGAAACTCTGTAGCCTCCTACGGTGCGTCTTAGCGCTTACACAATCAAGCGAGGCACTCTGTGGAGCCTAGCCCGAGCGTCTGCGGGCGTGGGGGTTCACCTTTGCCGGATCGGTTCACGGTTCAGGGTTTAGGGTTCTGGGGTTTAGGCTCAAGAAGAAGTGAATCGGGTACCGGCGCATCCGGCGCCTAATGCTTTTTGGGGGCTTGGAACCGTCAATCATGGAGTTTTCGTAAATTTTCTGGAGACGGCCTAAAGTGCAATATTAAGATTCGAGTCCAACATGTGTGAAAACACTCGGTATGTTCAGACCGTACATATGTTGGGTCATGGCGTAGTGGAAGTAAACGCTGCGCCCCGGCCGTTTAGCCACAGCGAGCTGAATAAACTTTTCCGGAAACATCGAAAAGTATAAAGGTGACCGGTTCCCCTTGTGCATGGATGCTTTCACGATAAGGGAGTTCTCAAAAATTAGGGGTGCCTTTTTATAACAAGGATCCTTCTGTTTAATCTAGGGGCCTTAAACAGTAGAACAGGGTTTTGGGGCCCATTACGTATACGACAGTTATAATAGGAAACCCCCGCAATACGGTTGATGGTATAAATCCTGCATGACCCATAATAAGGAATATACCATAATTCCCCATAGCTTAGAGCCCTGAAGGCAATGCATGATTTATATCATCAACAGTAGTATAGGTAATTGTTTAGGCCCCTATAGTAACCCGGTGTTCCAACGCATCATAGCAGCTTTCAGGACTTGCTTCGAAAGCAGGGTCTGGGTTTTAGCGTTTAGGGGTTTGGGGTTGAGGGGTTTGGGGCTGAGGGGTTCAAAGTTTAGGGGTTTGGGGTTCAGGGGTTTAGGGTTTATAGTTTAGGGAAGAGGGTCTAGGGGTTTAGAGTTTAGGGCTTCGGATTTCGGGATAGAGCCGTTTCTGATTCAGCCCTTCTAGATGTCTTGGGCATGAAGAACTCGCTGCATGCCGACATGCTGCTCTCTTTGTGCAAAGCTCTCTTTGTGCAAGGCATGCAGCCCTGGAATTTGATACCCGAACAAGCCCCAGAAACACATCACACAGACCCGAACCCCTAAACCCTTACGCGCTAAACCCTAAACCCCTACATCATATCCTAGGTCCCCCAGTAGCCCTCCGACAATAAGGGTATCATTTTTCCTAATGGTTGGCTTAAGAAGACAGCCCAAAATGAACAAGGGCAAAAGGGTACTAACTACTGGGGAACCTAGGCTATACTGTTGATGATATAAATCCTGCATGACCCATAAGAAGGAATATACCATAATTCCCATAGTTTAAGGTCCTTAAGGTCATGCAGGATTTATATCATCACCCTAAACCCTGAAGCTAAAACCCTACAGATCCCTTAAAGGAACCCTTTAAAGGTGGCCCTTATAGATCCCTTTAAAGGAGCCCTAGGATTTATATCATCAACTGTATCAGCCCCTCATCCTAACGGGCTGCAGGACCTGCAGCTTCAGGTTCGAAATCCCTGACTGCAGGAAAAGAAGCCAGAGAGCGCCTAATCCCCTCAATTGAGGAATAAGGGTTCCTTAAAGGGCTCCTTAAAGGGATCTATGAGTTTTTTCCAGGGAATTCCGGAATATGTCTTGAATTATATAGGGCTCCATAGTATGATTTAGGCGATATTTCTTTAATATTGAGGGGTATTGGGCTCTCTGGGAAGCCTCCGGCTGCTGTGTGTGCAAACAAGCAAGTATGCATGCGTAGATGCTCCTGTATGTGAGCACAACACAGGTTTCCTTATACCAACTTTTTGGCACAGTGCGATGTGTCTAAGCAGACGCTGACAGATGGGCATACAAATGCGAACAGACAAGAACCGCAAAATGCACTAACACTTCACCACATTCCGCGGATGTGTTGGTTGAACAAGGCTGTGGTCACCTGTAAGGGTCCGGGTAGGGTTTAGGGCACCACTCTCTCCCACACCCTAGGACTGCCTGCTGCTATGGTTCCTGACGTAACTACTGAGAAAAAAACTTAGAGCGTAGGGTTTAGGGCTAAGACACTTCACAAGAGTGCCGCAAAAACGGCTGTGGTGTTCTTATTGCAACTATGGCCATAATCAAACCCTACATTAAATATACACTCAGGACGTAAGGGCCCCTGTCTAGGGGCCGCCGAGGGTTGCCAGACGGGTTGCAAGGGTCACTATACTTATGAGGGTTGAGAATAGGGGCCTTAGAATGGAGTAGGCTTTTTGGGTTATACTGTACTGTGAATATGTTAAGGAACGCTGATCGCACTATTCAGTCGCCTATTACCACATTGAACCCTGTTCCCCATCCCCTAAACCCCGCAAGACCTGGGCACCACATCCCTAACGCACAAACAGAGACCCTTTAGCAGGGCTGGCTTGCCACAGACACAGGGATACTAATATGAAGACCCTCGAACAACCTTGTCGGACCTTCATACAAAGCCTGTAAACGCTGGACCCCCGATATATAGGGCTTCCTTAATAAGGACCCCCCCCCCCCCCGCCAAAAAACAAACAAGTATTGATAAGTATTTCGGCCCCTATATCACTACGACGGTTTTTACTGGGCTTCCAGGCGACTCTGGCTTCTCTTCCTTCTTGAGCTCCGTCTTCTTGGGCTCCTGGTGTTTAGGGTTCAGGGTTCAGGGTTGCAGGCGATACAGGAGAGTAGCGACCAGCGACCCGGATTTCGGGATTCGCGGTCTTGGCAACTGCCTATTATGGTTGTGTTGATGGAGCTCAATACCTGTCAAGTGAGTGAGCACTGGGAGCACAGTGGCCTAAATCCTAAATCCTAAGCCCTGAACCCTAGAACTTACATCCTCAACTCTTCAACCCTGATCCCGTAAGAAAGCCGATATAGTGTTTAGAGGTTCAGTACGGATTTGAATGTGGCTTTAGGGCATGCTGTATTACACTTATATAGGGTTGATACAGCAAGACTGTGACTGGCAAACCGCTCCAGTAATCTCGTCAGATCCTATAAGAGTTCCAGACGGCAAGAAACGCGGACCCCGAAATTCCACAAACCAAACACCTGAACGACAAAAAACCCTGAACCCTTCATTCCGGCAGTCCGATCAAGAAGCCTCTCAAACCAGACAAGAACCTCCTCCCCGCCTCCAAGCCCCCCAAACCTTCACAATAAGCACACGAAAGCTCTGTACAGTAAACCCCATGAAGCTGGAAAGATTCAGGCCAAATAGTGCTGGGATTCCCTCTAGATGACTCTTAAGGATTGAGGCTATTGGGCTCCCAACTGTTGGGCTTCTACTGTATCAATTCTCGACCTCAATAACACACACACACACATACAAACATGAACCTGCAATGAAGAGCCGAAGACAACTTGCTCTTTAGACCAGTGTTAAGACCGAGTTACGAATCCTAAAGTCCAAAGTCTAAAGCCACACCATGCTCTCGCAGTTCCAATGTGTCGCGACGATGCCCCTGATTGTTCTGATGGCTCTCTGGACCACCGGTGCGTGCCATTCTGCCGGAAAGTGGTCTTGAATACCCTCCAAGTGTTCGGCAAAAGCTTCACAGATGCCCACAGTTAGGTTCTCGGGGTGGCTGAGGAAAGCAGTCTTTTCAGAGCTGGCACGTCCAATTCCAAAATGCCTGATCCACTGGACAAGGTCTGTGCTACCTCTGTTCCACAAATCCCTCTGGGCGGTGAACCACACCGATTGAGACCGACATGACATGTACAAGCACGATGAAAGATAGAAACATGAGCTGGAGCAGGTCGGCCTCACCTAGCGCGGAGACCTCGCGAGTCGCGAGTTGAAACTCGCTCTTTGAAGTGTCCTGCCTTCTCTTGGCAGTGTGGAGCCAAAGAAACCGATTGCAGTAATCGGGATGTGCCCCTTCAGGTGATGCTCCAACCGCTTCCGCGCTTCACGATTGGTCTGCGAATCTGTTGTGATGTCTCCTGCTACGATTATTGTGGGGGGTTCAACAATTAGAACAGGGTTTTGGGGGGTTCCTGGGTATACTTATATCATGTACCCCCGAGCCCTGTTCTGATTAGAAAGGCCCCTACTTGGAGGGTCGAGGGACTTAGTAAGTGGTTATTCTATAGACTGATAAGTACCTTAATGGGGACCCGAATTGGGGTTATGGTACTTATAACTCTATAAATAACTACTTACTAAGTCCCTCGACCCTCCAAGTACATTATCTTCGCCGGATCCGCTGGTCTGCCATCTGCCTCTGGTTGTGTATTTCCAAGGGGAAAAGGAGGGACCCCTAAAAAGCCCATTATAGGGTAGGGGTCCCCATTAAGGGTCCCTCCTTTTCCCCTTTGAGTATTGGTCTCCTGCACCCACAAAGAACCCCTGAGAATCATAAGAGAACCCTTTGCGAATCTGATCAAGGCTTACCGGAATCTGCTGAAAATTCAACAAGACCTGATATTCAAAACCTGCTGAAACCCTGAACTCTAAACTAAACCTTAGAAGCTGCCCCCACCCTGTAATGGTGACTATAAGGATTATATTCGGGCCCTATTGTATTCCTAATATACCACTATTACAGGGTGGGGGCCCCTTCTAAACTAAACCCCCTTACCCTAGACCCTAAGCGCCAAACCCTAAACTTCAAATCCCGAACCCTAGTGCGGGTCTGGTACCTGAGCTTCCTCGTCCCCGGGTTTCGTCTGAGCCAGGAATTCGGCGCAAAGTAGTTATGGTGATAACTAGTTCTAGGGGTGTGATAATATCAGACGGTATAATTTCACATCTTATAAAACAACACAGCATCAGGCCAAATCACATATTGCAAGACCAGATCACATCATTTACATATCGCACCAATAAGCAAAGTATAAACAGCACATTTTGATTTCATGTAAGAGAACATGATGAAAATACTTGAACGTAGTTTATTATGTTGGAACATAATGTAACATAACCTACAAATATATACTATAAACTATATACCCTAAATTATACAGCACATACTATATACTCTTCACTACATACTCTATACTATGTACCCTATATTTTGTACTACATGATACATACTATACACTGTATACTATTTACTATACACTATAATATAGGGGTACTATACAATGAACTGTATATTGGAACCTATATACCACAAACTATATGCTATATACCATATATCTTGTACTATTTCCGATGTGCTGCATAACTCTACCCTATCATGGCATAATCGCATATTCTAATCTAACCTAATGTACAGAGTATTAACATATAACAGAATATAGCGCGGTATAGTATAATATAGCAGAATACAATGTGGTATACTCTACTCCACTGCACTCTACTCTGATCTGCTATACTATAAACTAAACCAACATAAAACGGGGCTGAGGGCTTGGGGCTTGAAGTAGGGGATCTCTGGGCTATAAACCACACCGTTTCTAGACCTAAGAGTAACCCAGGAATAAAAAGGGTGCCTTTTTTGGCTTAAAGGGAGTTATAAGGGAACCTGAACCCTAAAAAAGGGAATAAGGGCCTATTCTGGGTCCTAGGTTTTACACGCCAGGCCGTGAGCCCCAAAAAAGCTGCTTGCTTGGATACGTCTTAAACTCTGCGCTGGCTGTGTGAGACATACAACAGGATATCTGAAAGCACAGTGGCTGGTTTAGGGTTGCGGGTTAAGGGCTGAGGGTTTGTGGGAAGTAGGTTAATTACATATTTGGGGTCATGGCGCTGTTTTGTGGGTATCGGCTTGCTGCACAAGAGATTCAACAACCAAAAACACCTGTTGTTGAAAACCCCGATGTGGTATGGCAGACGGCCCCCCACCGTGTCCTGATTATCTGGACTGTCGTGATCTAAGGGCCTGAACTGAATCACTACAACGGGGTATTAGAAGCTTTTCCTGTTCAAAGAATCAGAATAGGGAGCCTTAAGGAATAGTTGGTTGTAATTTGTTCTGACCCCTAGATTATCATGTTGGCCCTTTAAAGCCTTTGAACAAACTTCATAGTTCAGATGTTCATTGGCCCAATGCGGCAACACATGAACTATTGCTAGCAAGGGGATGAAGACTCAAGGCGTAGGAGTTTAGGGCATGGGGTTTCTGGACTTCAGGATTCAAGAAGGCGACTTGGGCCCTAAACCCTCAACCCTACTTGGAGGGTCGGGGGACTTAGTAACTAGTTATTTTGGGGACTGATAAGTACCATAACCCCAATTAGGGTCCCTTTTAGGGTACTTATAAGTCTACTTACTACCTACTTACTAAGTCCCCCGACCCTCCAAGTAACCCATCGAAATGAAGGCTACTTGGAGACTCATTTGGGGTTTAGGGTTTAGGGCTTAGGGTTTAGGGTTTAGGGTTTCAGCCACACCGCTCCCAGGCCTTGTCCGTCTCACTCATCCCTTCTTCAAAGGCCTCGTCGGCACGTCAAGAAACCCAACGTGAATAACCCCGCTTGCTACGGGAGTTTGTGGCTTCTGTCCTGGGATATGGAGCAACATAATGGAGCAGAGTATAATATAGCATGGTATGGTATAGTATACTACAATATCTATATATAGCGTAGAGTAGAGTATAGCATAGTAGAGGATTAGTATAGTGTAATTAGCAGAGTAGAGTATGATAGAGCATACGGCATCTTTTTGGAATCGTTTCAGTGAGATCTGAGGAGGTCACTGTATAAAGGCTCCAAAGGAACCGCCTAAAAATGGTCCGGCGCCTTCTAGTACTGAAGAACCTGGGTGGTCAACTTCGTTCGGGATTAGCCTTGAAGAAAACACTACCTACTTGGAGGTTTATGGGTAGTTGTAAGCTGGGCTTAAGGGTAGGATGACTGTCGCTATAAGCTCTATTTGGGGACTTAGAAACCCACTTACAATGACCCATGCAAGTAGATCTGGCGCTTGCCAGCGTATTTCGCATGGGCCAAGACTGCTCTGGCTCCATGCACAGCATTTCGGAATCAATACATGCACTTGAGAGAGTAGAACCCCCTTAAAGCCTTGGAGGGTCGGGGCACTTAATAAGTAGTTATTATATAGACTTATAAGTACCTTAATGGGGACCCTAATTGGGGTTATGGTACTTATAAGTCTATAAAATAACTACTTACTAAGTCCCCCGACCCTCCAAGTAAGCCCTAAACCCTAAACCCAAGCCCTGCACATTAAAGGCAGTAAATCTGCAAACCGAAAGGTCCTCCAACCGAACCCCTACGAACACCCTGAGCAAGGTGTCTACCTTCCGAACTAGCCACAAGTGGAACAGCACAAAACATCAGTTCCGGAATGGCTCGCAACCCTTATCAATCTGCATATATGTGTGTATAAACATCAATATACATATATATATATATACATATACACACATGCACATACAACTATATATATATATATATATATATATATATATATATACACATACATACACACACATACATAGATAAAAGCACATATACCCACATACACGCATACAGTCACATACATATGCACACGGGGGCCTTAGTAGTTAGAATAGGGTTTCGGGCTTACCTTATAATAATACTATACTATAAGAATCATAAGGAACCCCACCAACAAAAAAACAGCGTAGGTTCTTGTTAAGGCCCCTAAAATGAAACTTCCCTCATAGAACCCTCATAGAGCCCTTAAAGCCTTAAAGGCAAGGACCCGTAAAGAACCCCTAGAACCCCTCCAAGTAACAGAACCCTAAACCCTAAATCCTAATAGAACCCTAAAGCCTCACGCCTAGACTCCTAGAACCCAGAACCCTAAAACCCTAAAACCCTAAACCCTGACAGAACTATACTGAACTTAGAGTCCCAGCAAAAAATTGTAATTTTAGCTGTTTCTTTGGGATTATAATAATCAAAAGGAAAAATTCTAAGTACCCCTAACAGAACCGGCACCTTCGGCACCTCCTTGAGGTCTCCAGCTGCCTCGCATGGCCCGTTTGGAGGAAGGCCCCACCCACCCCAGCCCCAAACCCTCCTACACTGAACTTAGAACCCTAGCAAAAACTATAATTTTAGCTGTTTCTTAGGGATTATAATAATACCAAAAATTAAACCTTACTTCTGAGTACCCCTAAGCCTCGGGCTCAGGGGGTTTAGGGGTTTAGGGGGCTTTGAGGTTTTGGGTCTACATGTTGGCAACGAAAATAGGAACCTGGTTAAGAAACCTTGGGTACATGTTGAGGTTCTTTCTATGGATCCTAATATTTTAGGTTTATGGGACCTGGTTTCTTCATCAGGCTCCTACATTAAGCGCTGGACCCGACCTGCCTGTGGATCCAAAGCCTACAACCAGTTAGAGGGTCAACACCTTACGGTAGCTGGTCAGGGTTTAGGGCATATCCTGCCTTGTGGGTTGCACTTGGCCTGTGTAAGTGCTTCATACTGTTCGTCGAGAGCGTCTGGTGGAAGGTAAAACGGTTAGCTGAGTCAAACCCGTTTGCAGCAACGGTTTTTACCACCAGTGTAGGTGTACATGGGCCCTAGGATTGCCCTGTCGATGGGCACTTTTGCCGTCAGGGGCCTTGACCCAACCTGCACCCCAAAACCAGACAACAACAACCTCGAAGTCACATAGCCATGAACACAGCCTTCCAAAAACAGACTAAGCCGTTTCCTAAGCAAACCATGTAGCACCCTAAAGCCCTAAACTCCCAAAGACACCGAACCTACAGAATCACCTTCCTGTGGTCTTACAAAACCCCTAATTAGCCCCTCAAGTCAAGTCTTGTGATTTGTTCACCTCTTCCAAGATGCTACGCCCTATAACTATCTTCCACAGCCCCAAAATTTAGCCTCGAGATTAACTATTTTCAATCTGCACACTATGTACACTTATACACGCACAGAGACGAAAAGAGACCCTCTTCCTTCCAACCTAAACCCTTAAAACACCTGGAAGAGCACACAAACTGAAGACGCTACCCTGTCTATATACACATACGGATAGATCCATGTATATACATACATACATACATACATACATACATACACACATATGTATGTAATCTATATTACATTTACACTTACACACGTGGACACACACACACACGCACATATCTACGTATATACACCCACGTGACTTTGATGTAGCTCTATGTTGATTATCTACGTTCGTATGTTTGCTAGAACAAAGCTGCAACAAAGCGCAGAGGAGCCCTTCTCTAATTATAGAGGTTCCTATATCATAGTACCCTTATAATAGTATCCCTTATAGGAGCCTTAGGGTTTAGGGTTTAGGGAGACTCCTTTAAAGGGAACCCTAGTAACCCTAACAGATCCCTTTAAAGGGACACCCTATACCCTAGGTATTGCGGACCCCCCAAAAGCAAGAAAGCGCACTTGGAGGGTCGGGGGATTTAGTAACTGGTTATTTTAGGGACTTATAAGTACCATAACCCCAATTGGGGTCCCTTTTAGGGTACTTATAAGTCTACTTACTACCTACTTACGAAGTCCCGCGGCCCTCCAAGCAGAGGAGCCTTGCCGGCTTCCTTTGCGAGGCCCTTCAAGGTCTCTGGGCCGAAGAAGAGGATGGCTGCGCCGAGGATCTGGGCTTGGGGTTTAGGGTTTCTTTTAAGGGTCCCTTTAAAGGGATCTATAGGGATTCTATAAGGGTTTAGGGTTTAGGGGTTTAGGGTTTAGGGGCTTCGGGTTTACTTGGAGGGTCGGGGGACTTAGTAACTGGTTATTTTAGGGACTTATAAGTAACATAACCCCAATTAGGGTCCCTTTTGGGGTACTTATAAGTCTACTTACTACCTACTTACTAAGTCCCCCGACCCTCCAAGTAGGTGTTAGGTCCTGCAAGGGTTTAGGTCTGAGGTTTCAGGTTGTGGGTTTTAGGGTGTTGGTTTGAGGTTTTAGGGCCTTAGGGGGTTTGGAGTTTACGTTTCCGGGTTCAGGTTTTAGGTCTCAGTGCCCAGGGCCTCATTACCTGGGGCTTAGAGGCATTGCAGGAGCTCTTGTAAAGGCAACCCTCAATCTGCCCAGAGCCTAATGTGCCGGTCGGTTTAGGAATATGGGCTCCTTTAGTGCGTCGGCTCGGGGGCTTATTCCGACCGGTACCAAAAATTTGGGCGCGGTCTAATTAATGCGTTTTTTTTTGGCTGGGGGGATTTTTTGGGGGCGGGGCTGTGCTGTTTGCTGATGGTCAATCTTAAGGCAGCCACGACCTCTACTGTACTACTACTGTACTACTATTCTACTATACCTTGATTATTGGGGGGGGCTGGGGGGCTGCTAGGGTGAACCGCCGAATCGGGGATTGGACCCTAGCTCAAAAGAGGCCTCTCCAGTACTAAACTTTGTATAAAAAATGCAGTTTTGGGTCGAATCTGGACCGACCCCCCTTTGGAAGGGTTTAGGGCTTCGGGTTTAGGGTTTGTTATAGGGTTTAGGAAGTTTAGGAGTTTAGGATTCGTTAGGGTTTAGGGTTTGTTAAGGTTTAGGGTTCAGGGTTTAGGGTTTCAGGCGCTGGCTTTATGCTTTGCTTATTGGGGGAATGTGCTCACTGGCTTTATGCTTTGCTTATTGGTACTATTTCTGTACTATTACTGTATTACTACTGTACTACTGTACTACTGTGGTACTACTACTGTACTACTAGTGTACTACTGTACTACTATTGTACTACTACTGTACTATTACTGTACTACTATTGTTCTACTGTACTATTATCGTACTACTACTGTACTACTACTGTACTACTATTGTGCTACAATTGTACTACTGTACTATTATTGTACTACTAATGTACTACTATTGTACTACCACTGTACTACTGTTGTATTACTATTGTACTACTGCACTATTATTATTATACTACTACTGTACTACTACTGTACTACTATTGTACTACGGTACTATTATCGTACTACTACTGTACTACTATTGTGCTACTATTGTACTACTGTACTATTTTTGTACTACTACTGTACTACTATTGTACTACCACTGTACTACTGTTGTATTACTATTGTACTACTGCACTATTATTGTACTACTACTGTACTACTACTGTATTATTTCTACTGTACTACTATTGTACTACTGTACTATCATTGTACCGCACCAAGCTTCATACGTGGTCGATTGTGGGTGGGAGTGTGGGAGTGTAGGTTAGGGAGGCAAAAGTGTTCAAAATGAAGGGTTTTTAGTCTTGGTAGTAATCTTGGAGTGATCGGGGCTTGGTTTCCAGCATTTGGTGATCCCCAGACCCCCCCCCCGACCCCCGACCGCGCATTCGCGCAGAACCGCAGACCCTGCACCCAAGCCAGCCCCCAAACCCCGGCACCTCCCAATTCCCTGCCACTCAGACCCCTGACCCCTGTCCGGCGTCACCGGCTCCACATTAAATAGAACTTTTATTTTTGGTCGGGGGGGGGGGGTACCCCACTATTAAACCGACCGCCACATTAAACCCTAAAATCAAGGTGGTGGTTCCACAAAGTTTGCGATAGTGTTCAGTTCAGGGCTTCTATAGAGTTCGGGGCTTTGGTGACCTTCAATTTCTGGGGTTACAAGCCTTCAGGGTCAGGGCATGCGACGCGGCAAACTGCCAGACAGGCCCCAAAATTACCCACGAACCCACAATGCCTAAATGCAAAGCCCGCCCGGTCTCTTCTTGAGATGCCACCCTCTTGGCTTCCTTTCGAGTCTGATGCCTTTGTAGGCGGAGCCTTGGAGACTCGCACGGAGTCGACCTCTTTGACTTGGCCCCACGTGAGCCCGGAAACCAGTTCGTTTAACAGACGGGGGGTCCTCGTCACTCAGGACCGTTGCCGCATGCCTAGCGATTGCTAGAACTCGTCCGGGGGTAGCCGTGTCGACGAGAGCGCAACTCCTAGGGACCCAAAAAAGTACATAAGCATAAGAATTTTGTAGGGATATCCCTACCAAATTGGGCTTCATTATAAGGGGATTTATATGGGATATCCCTATCCTTATTTTTGCTTATGTGCTTTTTTGGGTCCCTCGATCCCGTTCATCAGGCCGGTTTCCTTCACCTCACGCGGTTGGTTTCCGTTTCGGCCTTTTCCACCGTCCTTCGGGGCATTGGGTCAGGGAAATTCATCGGCGGGAAGCCCCCATGTTTAGCATTGATTGGACGAATCTGCCAGCTCGAAAATCCGGACGCGAAAGCCCTAAACCCGAAGTGCTAGAAATAAACTCCCTCAAGCATCCGAAATCCGTGGAGCCGAAATTCCTAGCCCCCACATCCTTCAGTACGAACAAACCCTCGAAATCCCTGGACCCTACTGCCACCATCCTGGATTCAGTCGCTTTGCTCCCTGTAGAGGGAAACCCTACACCCTAAACCAAAGTAAACTGACTTTGGAGATCCCTGACAAAGAAGCCATGACCCAACATGAAACACTCGAAGGAAGTACCCAAGAACTGCATGAGTTGCGAAGCCTCGCAAAAGCCTTGCTTGAAGGATCGGGGGGACCTAGCAAGTAGGGTTATAAACAGGCTAACTATTAGATCGATCATGTACTTAGAACCGTACTTACCACGTCCCCTCATTCTGTAAGTATACTGGGTTCCTGTTAAGGGACTTAATTTAAGTTATCATAATAGGAATCCATGGTAAATATTATGGTGTCTTTATTTTGGAAACTTAAATTAACTCCCTTAACAAGAGCCCAGTATACCCCTATAGATCCCTTAAAGGAGCCCTATAGATCCCTTAAAGGAACCCTAAACCCTAAACCCCTAAACCCTAAACCCTAAACCCTAAACCGTGCAGTATACATCGCTTGTAGATTCCTGAAGCTGGGGCCCGCGCCACTAGCAACTCGGAGGTACCCAGGCCAAAGAGGTGTCGCGTAGTGACTGTCCTTGGGAGTTTTGCTACTATTTGCTTAAGAACCCCCAAAAAATAAAAAATGATAATCCCTATATTATCCCTATAAGGAATATATTTTTATTTTTTGGGGGTTCTTAAGCAAATAGTAGTGGGAGTTTTGCGAGGTTGAGGGTTTAACGTAGATGCATAGGGAGTTTCGGCAGAATTGTCAAAAATCCATGCTCCAACTGCCTGGGCTTCGAAAAAGGGAATCTTCTAGGATTTTTGAGTCGGGATTTGAGGGTTTAGACTGTGGTCAAGGGTTTAAGTTTTGGGACACATGCATACATACATACATGCAGGCATGCAAGCATGCATTCATAAATCCATACGTGTATGACAAGTTCAGGCTTGAGGATTTGTATTCGGATCTTCCAGTAACCCAGCAGCATATACATACATATATATATATAGGGGTATATGTATATGTATATATAGTATCCGTACACACACCCGCAGACACCCTACGTACCATGCGGGACGTCCGGCCTCTCAGGTCTCGGAAGGGTCGGCGGAGCTCCGGTCAGAGGTGCCTTCGCAGTTTCAGGGTTCCGGGTTTTGGGGTTTGGCGTATACCCAAAGTGCCCAATACCCCTTAATTAAGGAATACAGCTTAAATCATAATATGAAGCCCTATATAATTTAAGCCATATTTCTTAATTAAGGGGTATTGGGCTCTCTGGGTAGGTTTCTATTACAAGTTCTACATAGGGTTTTGGGGTTTGGGGCTTGGGGTTCCGGGTTTGGGGCATAGGGCTTGGGTTTAGGGTTTTGGGGTTTGGGGTTTCGGGTTTGGGGAATAGGGCTTGGGGTTGAGGGGTTGGGGTTTCTATTATTTATGAGTTCTTTGAAGGGGCTCAGGGCTGAGGGTTTAGGGTTTAAGGGTTTGGGGCTGAGGGTTCCTGTTGGAAAAAGCTGTGTAAAGGGCTGAGTGGCTTAAGAGTTTAGGGTTTGGGGTCAAACGGCGTCTCAGTTGGGGTTTAGGGTGTAGTAGGGTTTCCAGACAGAGGGTTTCCGACAGGTCCTAGTAGGGTTGTCAGGGTGAATTTTCACAGCTGCTAAGAGTCTGTGCAATTGTATCAACTTTGGTTTGTGGAGTGACGAAGAGTCTACCCATACCTTCCAATATCCTGTATTAAGGAGTATACCTTAAATCTAATCAGACCGCTAATACGAGTTAAGGTATATGCGCTAATTAAAGGATTTTGGAAGGTCTGGGTCGGGCTCTGCAGGGCCTCCTGGCGCGTTGCAAGATGTGGGATGTGAAGCACGGTTGAGCAATGTGTTTCTGACTCACCCCATATAGTTCCACATAAATCACACTGGCCCCCGTAGCGCGCGTCGGCGCACGGGACTTTCACTTGCTCGCAGACTCGAAGATCGCTCTGCGAATTCCCAGGCTCTTCTTGCTCACTTTCAAGATTTTCTGGCGCAAATACAGACACGAAACGATTCATTGAAGCACTTTGAGCACAAATCCCTCTTCTCCGGCCTGGTCCTGAACAAGGTTCAACGTGGACACACAGACCAGAAAGCCATCTCGGATCTGGAAGCAGGAGGGCCCCATGAAGCCCCAAGGGCCCGCGCTGTCCCCATGGTGCCTTGATCCAAGCGGGCTGTCTGCATGAAGTTGTCCACCAGCTCCAGCTTCAAAATGGCACAACCAAGCTTCATGACCTTCGACTGACGCGTCCGCTTCCTGCTGGCCGGAGTAGCGAAGTTGTACAGTGGCTTCCAGGTCTGGTCAAAATTCCAGAGCCACCAGTAAACCATTGCACAAACTATTTGGTTTGCCAGACACGAAACCTTCCTGCCCCAAACTTGAAACCCGAAAGCCTCATTCCTCAAGTCATAAACCACCAAAAGCCCCAAGCCCCTCATCTCAAGCAACAAGGAAGCCCAACCCTCTACCCTGAAAGCCCTAACACCCTACATAAAAACAATGACACGATCAACCCTGAAGCACGAAAGGCTAACGCCACACAAAAACCTGGGATCCCATATCCACTACATCATCGCAGATATCCATGGAACCGTCTTCGAAACCTCATATCCATGTGCATCTCATGCACAACCCTAAAGCCTCGAAGCCCTATACCCATGTGAACCTTACCCCAAGGGTCCAAATACCTAACACTCATATACTCTCCAAAAAAAGTCGTAACCTACATAACCACTAGCCCAAAACCAAGTACCTACTTACTGGTTCCTTTAGACCCTTAGGGTTACCAAAGGAGTGTCTCCGAGCACCGGGCTTGCGCAGTCTTTCCTGGAGTCGACGTTTGGAGTCGTCCTTGCAAACATGACGAGTGTTGGACCCCATGATTTTGGGGTGATAACCTACTTGCTTTGTAGGGCTTGGGCCTGAAGGGGATTCCCGAATCAAGTAGGTCACAGCTGGGCTGTGTCATTGCTTGAAGGGCGTCTGCTGCTTATGAATTAACGGGATGCCTTGTCTATGGGACTATATGGACAGTGAACAGTTTCCCCAAAAGTTGATGAAGAAACCAAGCCCCAGCCGATAAAACTTCAACAACCCACACCCTCATCAACGCCACAAGACGTTAAAGCAACACATCAATAAACACATGCAGCCTGAACCCCGAACCCTAAACCCTAGGACCCCAAATACCTAAACCGGTCCCAAGCCCTTTCATAAGAACTCCTTGAAACAAGTACCGTGACCGGTCCGTCTAGCCAGAATTTGCAGGCTCTATTTGGGGCCTGAGCAGATAGAACACGATCGAGTCTTGGGCTGCGTTTTGTCTTTTGCTTCCATCGAGACTATAAGGATTGGTAGTTATTTCGGCCCCTATATTATTAATATTATTATTACTATTATTATTATTATGATTATTCACGGACATCTGTCGGTCAGAGAAGCACCCTGCACCGTTCTCGCCGAAAGGCCGAAGCGGCCCACAGCAAAAGAGGTCGTTGCCGAAAGCAGGGCCAAGATCAAAAGGCCGGCCTGCCACACATTAGGGCCCCCAAAAAAGCACATAAGCAAAAATTAGGGTAGGGATATCCCATATAAATCCCCTTATAATGAAGCCCAATAAGGTAGGGATATCCCCATAAAATGCTTATGCTTATGTGCTTTTTGGGTCCCTAACAAATGGTTCGTTTGCTTGCTGCATAGTTAGGGCGGCAAGGGGTTGAGGTGCTGTTTTGTCCAAAACTATCCCAGTAACCACAAAAGCTATACGTGAGGATTATGTCTTAACAGACATTAAATCAAGGGTCCTAGTAATGTATGGGTGGGTCTGAGTTTAGTCTTTCAGTCTTCCATCAAGGTGTCTTGGGACTTCAGATGGGACTTGCATCTAGAGTGTAGTCGAAGGCACACCATCGTGCACACATGCCGCGCCTCGACGTAAGTTGAGAAATGCGAAGGGGCCCTTCTACACACACTGCTGAAGCGCGCATGGCCCACAGTAATATCATCACGAATACATGTGACAAGTTTGTAAACCTACGCTGTGCGAGCTGGGCACCCAGACTGAGTGCTTCAAGTATTTACTCCTCTGAGATGTTAAGGTTGCAGGCCAGGTAGGTCTCTGTTCTGTTTCGGCAACAGTCACCACACGGGACTTATATACATGTGTTCGAAAGAGGGATTGACCCACCGTATATGGCATTCATTAGACTGCAGACTCCTAGAGTTCAGGGTTCAGTTCTGCGACATCAGGATGCAGGGTTTACCAAAGCCCTGCGAAGATTGCTACGGTTGATGATATACATTCTGCCTCACTCAGAATGAGGAATATAGCACATTTCACATAGTCTTGGATCATTAGGGTGCTGCAGGATGTATATCATCAATGCTATCCCTTCTGCCTCAGCAGCAAGGGACGCATGAGCCATGGTCGGTGTTTGGGGTGTTGGGCTTCAGGTTGAAGGGGTTTAAGGTTGAGGGCTGAGAAGCCCCGGTTTAGGGTTTAGGGAATGCCACGTTTAGGCTTGCTTGAATCATTGAAACACTTACAGCATCAGGGTACTCATCACTTCTGTAATTTTCCATTAAACCCCGAGACCCCACACATGCAGAATAAACCAGAATAGCCAACGTGTCGCTGGGATCTTCCTAGCAGGATGAAAACCTCCGGGTTTTAGAGCTTAGCATTCAGGATCGTATGGTTGAGGAATTGTTTTGGGTGATAGTCGAAGCTCCCGAACGCAGTCTTCGCATCATCAGACCGAACAAACCCCGAGGCGTGTTGGTGGGTCCCTAGTCGTACGAGGACGTTGATGGAAGAAGGACCATTTCTCTAAACGAACCCTGCGCGCCAGCAGCGGCACGGGTCGTCGAATCCTCCGGGAAACGCTCTCGGTGCTAACGATTCTAAAACTGTGCAAGGCCTGCAGTTTAGGGGTGTAGGGCCACTTGAAAGGCTAAGGGTAGCTAAAAGGCGGAACCCAGGTATTTCATACCTAAAGCTACACTCCTACATACTTGCTCACATGAACCACAAACACACACAAACACACAAGTCAATTCAAACGACAGTGTTGAATAGCAAAAGAGTTCTATAGTCGAACAAGATGTTTAGGGCTTGGGGCCTCCCCTCCCCACTTCCACAGACTCGGGTTCTAGTATACACGAAATGCGGAATAGTTGAAGGTTTAGGACTGAGACTTCTTTGCTGTTCCTTCCCGGATTGAGGGGAGCTCATGCTCCAAGGTTTAGCCCTAAAGGGCCTCTGGGTCCAGATATCCAGCAACCATATACGTCACAAACTACGAAACCTGCATGGCTGCTATGCTAAAGAGATTAGGGCCGAAGGCTAGAGTCGTGCAGTGGGGCTCAAATTTCTCAAGCCCTCAACCCAAACCCTTAAATCCTGAACTCGAAGCCCTCAGACCTAGAACCCCTGCGTCCAACAATCCAAACTCTAATGCAGCGGCGGGCATGAAGACAGTAATCGGAGCACAGTGTTCGGTTCTTCCCAGGGTTCTATCGGGGTTTTTCAGGGTGTAATATAAGGCCTAAGTAAGAATGCGGTCTTAGTGAATGTGGTTTTGAGAGCTGTAGAAAGATAACAAGGGCATGCTGGCTGTAAGGTTCAGACCGTTGTATCAAACCCTGAAACATCGCAGCAAACTATGCTTCGAGACTCATCCGTGCAGAAGAACGTGCAATTCGCACAAGAAAGAATGCTCGAAAACAGTCGCACGCACGGACAATCCTAGAAGAGCGGGCACCTTGGAAAAAAGTACAAGTGCGCATACCTATCAAAATCACCATAAAGCCCAAGTGCGGTCCACAAACCCCCGCAAGCACGTGACAATAACTGTAGACACGAAAATCGCATGCACCTAATCCTAAACCGTATCAAGGAGCCGTCGGGGTCCTCATAACCATGGTTGCGGCAGGGTCAAACAAAACTGGCTGCTGCGCACTGAGCACCACGAATACGCAGCGGGCTGTTGTGGGCGCCGTTGGGGTCATTCATTACGTTACCCAGAGAGCCCAATACTCGTTAACTAAGGATTATGGCTTGAAATCATATGGGCCTCATATTATGATTTAAGCTATATTCCTTAATTAAGGGTTGTAAAAAAGTAGGGGTGCTCTGTAAGCATGCTGTCGACTTACACATATGAATTTTTCTTTCTGCATTCACAAGTATGTTTGATCATTTTTGTTCAGAGGGGCGTAGGTTTCACCAGATTCTGTTTAGGTTTGGGCCTTAAGCATTAGGGCTGCCTAATTCTCACATAAACAGATGCCTTTATAAACGTGTTTATGGCTGTTATCTTCTGCATCGTACTAAAGCACTATAACAACACACCATTGCGATTGAGGGGAAAGAGTGTCATGATTACACATGAGCCCTAAACGCACAGCTCCCACAAACTCCGAAAACACTTATACACAACTTTCAGAACCTGTATGCTAGCCTTAAACGTTGCAGCCTTAAACCCTGCACACTGAGCCATGAACTCTTAAACCCTAAACCCTAAAACCCTAAAAGGGTAACAATAACTACTCAGAAACCAAGAAGTTTAAACCCTAAACCCCTAAACCCTCCACCTCAAACCCTAAACTAAGCCCTGAATTGCAAGCCTGGCAGTCTGCAGCTTTTCGCGCCCTTGCGTCTGAGCTTCCTAAGAAGCTCTCTTTTGTCCCTGTTGAGCTTTTTCTCCCATTCGGGATCCGGCTCCGGGTATGCTTTGCTTTGGAGAGTTTTGGTGTGTTGACGGTTTAGGGGTCTAGGGCTTGGGGTTTGGAGTTTGGGATTTGGCTCCGTTTATGTTCTTCGTGGGCGTTAGGGCTTGGCGATTTGAATCGTGAACACGTATACAGCTACGCGTCTATGGTTGCAAAACTTGATGAGTATGAGAAGTATGAGGCACAAGATGCAAAACAACTGTCCGATAATGCCATGGTTTTGTTCGTGACCGTCCCTTGCAGACATTGTTGGGGACTCTTGTTCTAGCCCTAGGCCCCAAGCACCTAGTTCCCATGTCCATGTGGCTTCCTTCACTTTCAACAAAAGGTCAAGGGATCCCCGTGCTATTGTTCACTCTGGAAGAAAACCCGAACTCAACAACCGACAAAGCCATGCACATGGCGGTTCTAGAGCACCTAAACCTAAGCATGATTAAGTGAGCCTTAGGGTTTAGGGTTCCTTTAAGAGGGATCTATAAGGGTTCCTATAATGGGATCTATAAGGATTCAGGGTCTACTCGGAGGATCAGGGGACCGAAGCCCTGGACGGCAAACCTGAAGAGTCAAGAGATAAGGGCCTACAGAATTATCAGTACTACCCTTTGGGTACGTAACCTTAACCATAGAGTATCACATCACACCAAAACCGTTGAAAGGCATCAGACCCCTAAGCTAAACCCTCATTGCAAGAACTCTTCAAAAGCATGCCTTGTAGCAACCCTTAGGAACTCTACTCTAGTTCTTAACGCCCTCTTCGGAAATAGACCCTGCAAGCTGCAAGCCCCGTCTGAGGCTGGCTTCATTCTGGGCATTCGGGCCTACTTGGAGGTTCACGGGCAGTTATAAGTAGGATTATGAATAGGTCCCGTGATATAGGTTGTAACTGTTGTAACTATAACAGCTATCCTACTTACGGCCCTAATTGTAACTACCGAACCTCCGAGTATGATGGTTCTTACGGTTTGGAGTTCGAGGCTTAGGGTCAAGGGTGTAGGGTTTAGTGTCCAGGGCTTAGGGTTGAGGGCTGAGAATGACCAAACATATCCACAGAAGCCTCTCAGTTCTGGGTGAGACATTTGCTGCTTTTGCAGACTGGGAGGCACCAGACGGCTTAAGAATTGGTCACCTTATTCAGGCGAGCTCACTTCGAGTATAGAACCACTTGGGGTCGACCTATCCTAGGGCTCAATACCGTAGCCCAGAAAACGTTAACCTTAAATTTCGGAAGGCAGTTAAAGGTTACATACTCAGCTACTAAGCTATATTGGGATAGAGCTATATTAGGATCACCGGCGCTCTAAAGGCCTATACAGAGACTACTGTGTAAGATGCTATCAGCTTATTTCAACTGGTGTTACCTTTGTCTTCTGTAGCCATGATAACCACGCGACCACGGTTACTATATCAGCGGCCTACAACTTCTCTTCTTGCCAGAATCCCGGGAGGATCTCAAGAATAGATCCTGAATTTGGGACGCTAGAAGGTACTTCATGGTAATCTCCGTAAGGGACCTACTTTTTGGATGCTCACAGTGGTCTGTGATACCGTTACTGCTGAAACTTGACAGCACCAGCATGGCCTGCAATCGGTCGAAGGTTCATCGGTGTGCCCCGAATATAGAGGTCGGACTCATCAGTAGTGACGCATTAAAGCTCTACGATAAAAGCGCAGTAATATCAAAAGCTAGTAGGCACCCTCTGCCACATCTGTAAGCCTTCACGGCCATGACAAAACCCGAAACCCCAAACCCCACTGAAATCCAAGATGATTAAAGGGAACTCCAGAAAGTTGGAATATGGTTTCAGGGTAGGATACCTTATATTTTACCATACAGGGCTTCGGATAATCATATTCCAACTTTCTGGCTTTTACTTTAAAGGGGTGCCCATAGTTTCGGGGTTCTAGTTTCGGATCGGTGGCCGGTGAGTTTCGGATCACGGGGCTGAGTTTCGGGGCCCAGTTTCGGGATGGGGAGGGGGGGGGGGTTAGGGTTTAGGGTTTAGGGTCAGTTTCGGGGGGCGCGAAATAGTCAGTTTCGGGGCGTGGGGTCAGTTTCGGGGGGCAGGGAGGGGAGGGGCTTCGGTATGTTGCCAGGTGACTGCTGCAGTAGCACGAGAGTACTACTGAGAGTACTACTACTGGTACTGCGACTACTCAATGCTACAGTACTACTAGTACCAGTACGACCAGTACGAATAGTAATAGTATTTGCCACGAGTACTACTGCTGCTTGTACTGCAACTAGTAGTTGCTACGTGTACTGGCCGCGCCCTCATCCGACACTGAACTCCTCCGGGTCGGGAACTGACAACTGACCTGGCCTCTGCCACGAAAAAACCTCCGCCCCGAAACTCAACACTCAAAGGGGAAAAGGAGGGACCCTTAATGGGGACCCCTACCCTATAATGGGGCTGTATAATAGGTATTTACTAGCTATATTAAGGGTATATACCTAGGGGTCCTTATTAAGGGTCCCTCCTTTTACCCTTGGAAACACCGAAACTACCCTCGAAAACCCTGAAACTCGCAACTCCCCTGTAAGGGGAAACCTTGGCTCTGAATCAGGAAACCGAGTCTAGCTGGCCGAGGGAGATATGATATAAATCCTGCATTACAAGGACTATACCATAGTTCCCATAGTTTCGGGTCCTTAGGGTCATGCAGGATTGATTTTGTCCATCAGCCGTATGATATAAATCCTGCATTACCTGAATTAACCTTAAACTATTGAAGTTACGTTATATTCCTTATTATGGGTAATGCAGGATATATGTCACCGACCATATGTATCTATTAGTTTGTGGGTTGAGGGAATTTAGGTTTAGGGTTGTATTAACTGCTCTTATCGTGCTCTGTGTTCTGTACTATTTACGTTTCGACGTATCGACGTACTATACTACATGTCACAGGGTTCTATACTCTATAAGCAGTATTGGGCCTCAATTCGACGAGTATGTTCACTTATGCAAAAGAGATTCATCAGACTAGGGCGTAACTGCCTGAGCTATGCGTATATGCGTGAAACTAGTGCAAATCCATATCAACACCAACCACCGAGTTTTGCAGAGCCCTGATGGAACCCTGATGGACGCCATATACTTGGGTTGTATAACGGTACTAAATCCGGCCTCCTGCGTGCGAAGCTGATCTAGGTATCAACATGGCTGTGTGCCGAGGGAAGAGTAGCTCGACAAGCCAACTCAGAGGGAGTACACGGTTGCCAAAATTAGGGTCCCTTTTTGGGTACCCTAAATAATAGATGCCGTATTGTAACAGGGACCCCAAAAAGGACCCTAATTTTGACAACCACCCATGTAGTAGCAGCGGTAGCAGCAACAGCAGCAGTACATTCGGATGCTGCCTGGGAGACAGTCAATATTACTAGCAAGCCCAAAGCAACACGATGCCCTAATGTGGAACCCTAATAAGGGCCGCTACGATGATGCCGAGAGGATCCTTATCAACATCCTCTGTCCCCCCTCAATCAGGGATTAGGGATGATACATCTTGATCAGGCATTGACGACAGCACATTATCATTAACTTAGACTTTTGGGTGCTGCGATAAACACCGTAAGCCTCTTCCCTCTCTGGCACTGCTTTAGCCTCTCCTGTGGTGTCTCAGCGACAGTAGTAGTAATGATTCAGGTAGCCATACGAGTTCATCTGCAACAAAACTGTGGTACAACGCGCAAGACACCACCTGAACACGGAGGTCGATATTCCAGTTTCCTGCGCGGCCCTCCAAGCAGTTGTAGAGGTGGCGCAACTATCAGGCCAAGTGTCTGCAATCCATCTCCCTGACTCCTGAACCCCAAACCCTAACGGGTTTCCGAAATGAAGTGTAAGGGTCCAAATTAACAAGTTATTACAAGATACTGTCCTAAACAGCATAGGGGTATTAGACCTTGTAGTACAGGGTCCTTAAAAGTTCGAATACGGTTTTGGGGCCCACTCTACTACATCAATAAACAAGAACCCCCCCCCCCCCAAAAGATACTGGTAACTATTTAGGCCCTATATTAATCCAAACTGCCACGTAGTTTGCGGATCGTACTTCTGGGGTTTAAGGGCATTGGCATTTCGGGTTGAGGGCTTGGGGTTTAGGGGTTTAGTAGCGTAGGGGCTTGGTGGTTTAGGGGTTTTGGGTTGGGGTTTAGGGTTTAGGGCTTTGGGTTTCAGGGGTTCAGC